GATAAGATAATGGCCTGAGACAACTTCAGACTGCAGAAAAATTAAAAACATTTCTATATTTAATCCGTATGATATTATGAGGTCAAGAGTGTGACCACCATTATGAGTAGGCCCGATTATGTTCTGATTAATCTTTACTGAATCTAAGATGGACACAGCTGCTATTCTTAGGGACTTCCAGCTAATCAAAATTAATATTAAAATCTCCAACAATTAATGCTTTATCTACAGACCCAACCAGGTTTGAGACAAATTCCTCCTGCAAATTGACTACGAAATTCAGTACATGGCCCTGGGGGTCTGAAAATGATAATTAGAGGAATTTACTTATTTTTTGTGGCTACATAACTTATACTAGTATAAAGAATTTCAAAAGAATTAAATTTATGACTAGGTTATTGTGTGACAACTGGATTTTTACTATGGATGAGACCAACAACTCCTCCTCCACCAATTGAACAAGGCTGATGTACATAACTGTATCCAGGAGGACTGGCGGTTCCTGGATGGAATCTCGAACACTGTAGGTGGAGAGGTCCTCACCTGGGGTCCAGCCTGCACCATCCGCCACTGGATCACCCAAGATCCCTGGTGTGTTGGCACCGGCGTGACTGAGACTATGGCTGGGAAAGTTCTAGGTACACTACAGCAGGCAAAAGGTGTTCCTCTTCATCCACCATACAGTTTTTGTTAGGTTGATGTGCCTAAGGTTAATTTTCGCACACAAAAGCCTCCATGTATCCAATAAAGGTCAAAATCAGATTGCAAGATTTTGTAAGAAGTTAGGTGGGAATTTGCATTTACTTAGTACAGGTTGCCTTGCTATGAATACAGCACACGCAATCAACATTTCTCACTGTACCAGGCCAAAGAAGTGTCAGCATTTACCACTCTGCATCGAGCAGTTGATTTTCTGATGGGGTAATACACATCCCAAGTACGGAAGTGTGGATTGCCGTGATCGTATAGTGGTTAGTACTCTGCGTTGTGGTCGCAGCAACCCCGGTTCGAATCCGGGTCACGGCATGGAGTTTTCTACCTCACCACTGAATCATAAGGTTGAGCATGTCTTGTGATCTCTAGCCCTTTTTCGCTGGAAAAGCACACAGAGATCAGACATCAGCGTTCTGTGGGCCAGTGGCGCAATGGATAACGCGTCTGATTACAGATCAGGAGATTCCAGGTTCAACTCCTGGTTGGCTCAGTTCCCTTTTACCTCACACCAAAGGTGTGCCTTTGCAACCCACTCTGGCTGCTGAGTTTCAGGCAGACCACTCATAATCTCTGGAATGCTGGGGTGTGATCATACTCAAGTCAGCATGCTGTCTTACTACAGCAGGTTTCCAAGGTTGCCATGTGCAAAGCAAAACGAGGCAGGCCGAAGCGTGTGCCCGGTGCCTCCCGCTCCTGGTCCAGCAGCTGATTTTCTGGCAGTGTAACAGGTCCGCGAATCGGAAATAGTGAGAAGACCATGATCACATCGTGGTTTGTTTTATGTGGCCCCAGAACCCCCGGTTGGAACGCGAATGACAGCGCTGCATATGTACAGCTGTATTGTACAGACTGTATTTGTACAGCTGTATTGTACTACTGTATTGTGCAGACCTTTGTATGGGATAAAAGTTAGCCATAGATACTGTGTCTGATTACAGCCCGGAAGATTCTAGGTTTGGCTTGTTGCTGGCATGGCTCACTTTTATCCCATGCAATGGTCTGTACAATACAGCATGTTGACCACAACAGAGCTAAAACTGCAAGCCGCCGCAACTGAACAAATGCCTTGCCACGACCACGACCGGCAGTGGTGTGTAGAAAGATGTCCCATATGGTCTAGCGGTCAGGATTCTTGGTTTTCCCCACGCAGCCCGGGTTCGACTCCGGTATGGGAAGGGTGATTTCTTACATCGGCCAAGTTGAAATTAGTTTAGCTTTTCCAGCTCTATGCTATGCATGACTTAATTGAAATGAAAGGCATAAGTAGTTAGGTTCTCATTTCCGCAAGCTATTTGTAGGCCAGTGGTGTAATGGATGGCTCAGAAGATTCCCGCATCAACTCCTGGAGGATTCGTTTTAGCTCTCTTACCCCGTCCAACGTCCTGGCCCGCGTCTGACCGTTAACGTTAATAAACTAGCGAAGCTGGTACTCTGAATCTGGTTGTAGGCCCCTTTTCCGGGGATGAGGTCGGTCTCAACATCCCGGGATCAAACCTGTGCAAAGTGAAATGAGGCTGGTTTTCACTACAGCAGGCAATAGGTGTGCCTCTCCATCCACCATGCAGTTTTCTGTCAAATTAGATATCAGGCTTTGTTATTCTGATGTGCCTAAGGTTAATTTTCTGACACAACAGCCTGCATGGTTCCGATAAAGGTCAAAATCACATTTCAAGATTTTGTGAGAAGTTAGGTGGGAATTTGCATTTACTTAGTACAGGTTGCCTTGCTATGAATACAGCACACGCAATCAACATTTCTCACTGTACCACTCTGCATCGAGCAGTTGAGTTTCTGCACTGGTAATACACGTCCCAAGTACGGGAGTGTGGATTGCCGTGATCGTATAGTGGTTAGTACTCTGCGTTGTGGTCGCAGCAACCCCGGTTCGAATCCGGGTCACGGCATGGAGTTTTCTACCTCACCACTGAATCATAAGGTTGAGCATGTCTTGTGATCTCGAGCCCTTTTTCGCTGGAAAAGCACAAAGAGATCAGACATCAGCGTTCTGTGGGCCAGTGGCGCAATGGATAACGCGTCTGACTACGGATCAGGAGATTCCAGGTTCAACTCCTGGTTGGCTCAGTTTCCTTTTACCTCACACCAAAGGTGTGCCGTTGCAACCCACTCTGGCAGCTGAGTTTCAGGCAGACCACTCATAATCTCTGGAATGCTGGGAGTCATGATCATACTCAAGTCAGCATGCTGTCTTACTACAGCAGGTTTCCAAGGTTGCCATGTGCAAAGCAAAACGAGGCAGGCCGAAAGTGTGCCGGTGCCTCCCGCTCCTGGTCCAGCAGCTGATTTTCTGGCAGTGTAACAGGTCCGCGAATACGAAATAGTGAAAGACCATGATCACATCGTGGTTAGTTTTATGTGGCCCCAGAAACCCCGGTTGGAACGCGACTGACAGCGCTGCATATGTACAGCTGTATTGTACAGACTGTATTTGTACAGCTGTATTGTACTACTGTATTGTGCAGACCTTTGAATGGGATAAAAGTTAGCCATAGATACGCGTGTCTGATTACAGCCCGGAAGATTCTAGGTTTGGCTTGTTGCTGGCATGGCTCACTTTTATCCCATGCAATGGTCTGTACATACAGCATGTTGACCACAACAGAGCTAAAACTGCAAGCCACGCAACTGAACAAATGTCTTGCCCGACACGACACGGCAGTGCTGTATGAAGATGTCCCATATGGTCTAGTGGTCAGGATTCTTGGTTTTCACCCAGGGGCTCGGGTTTGACTCTGGTATGGGAAGGATGATTTCTTGCATCGGCCAAGTTGAAGTTAGTTTAGCTTCTCCAGCTCTAAATGCATGACTTAATTGAAATGAAAGCATAAGTAGTTAGGTGCTCATTTCCGCAAGCTATTTGTGGGCCAGTGGTGTAATGGATGGCTCAGAAGATTCCCGCATCAACTCCTGGAGGATTCGTTTAGCTCTCTCTTCCCCGGTCCAACGTCCTGGCCCGCATCTGACCGTTAACGCGTTAATAAACTAGCAAAGCTGGTACTCTGAATCTGGCTGTAGTAGCCCCTTTTCAGGGATGAGGTCGGTCTCAACATCCCGGGATCAAACCTGTGCAAAGTGAAATGAGGCTGGTTTTCACTACAGCAGGCAAAAGGTGTGCCTCTCCATCCACCATGCAGTTTTCTGTCAAATTAGATATCAGGCTTTGTTATTCTGATGTGCCTAAGGTTCATTTTCTGACACGACAGCCTGCATGGTTCCGATAAAGGTCAAAATCACATTTCAAGATTTTGTGAGAAGTTAGGTGGGAATTTGCATTTACTTAGTACAGGTTGCCTTGCTATGAATACAGCACACGCAATCAACATTTCTCACTGTACCACTCTGCATCGAGCAGTTGAGTTTCTGCACGTGGTAATACACGTCCCAAGCACGGGAGTGTGGATTGCCGTGATCGTATAGTGGTTAGTACTCTGCGTTGTGGTCGCAGCAACCCCGGTTCGAATCCGGTCACGGCATGGAGTTTTCTACCTCACCACTGAATCATAAGGTTGAGCATGTCTTGTGATCTCTAGCCCTTTTTCGCTGGAAAAGCACAAAGAGATCAGACATCAGCGTTCGGTGGGCCAGTGGCGCAATGGATAACGCGTCTGACTACGGATCAGGAGATTCCAGGTTCAACTCTTGGTTGGCTCAGTTCCCTTTTACCTCACACCAAAGGTGTGCCGTTGCAACCCACTCTGGCAGCTGAGTTTCAGGCAGACCACTCATAATCTCTGGAATGCTGGGAGTCATGATCATACTCAAGTCAGCATGCTGTCTTACTACAGCAGGATTCCAAGGTTGCCATGTGCAAAGCAAAACGAGGCAGGCCGAAAGTGTGCCGGTGCCTCCCGCTCCTGGTCCAGCAGCTGATTTTCTGGCAGTGTAACAGGTCCGCGAATACGAAATAGTGAAAGACCATGATCACATCGTGGTTAGTTTTATGTGGCCCCAGAAACCCCGGTTGGAACGCGACTGACAGCGCTGCATATGTACAGCTGTATTGTACAGACTGTATTTGTACAGCTGTATTGTACTACTGTATTGTGCAGACCTTTGCATGGGATAAAAGTTAGCCATAGATACTGTGTCTGATTACAGCCCGGAAGATTCTAGGTTTGGCTTGTTGCTGGCATGGCTCACTTTTATCCCATGCAATGGTCTGTACAATACAGCAAACGCATGTTAACCACAACAGAGCTAAAACTGCAAACCCGCAACTGAACAAATGTCTTGCCACGACCGACACAGCAGTGCTGTGTAAGAAGATGTCCCATATTGTCTAGCGGTCAGGATTCTTGGTTTTCACCCAGGTGGCCCGGTTCGACTCCTATGGGAAGGTGATTTCTTGCTCTTCCAGTTGAATTAGTTGCTTCTCCAGCTCTATTATAATTAAAAGATAAGTAGTTAGGTTCTATTTCCAAGCTATTGTGGATATTTATTTCACCTTACTATGCATGACAATAAATGAAGCATAAGTAGTTGGTTCTCATTTCTGCTATTTGTGGGTAGTCTTGTAATGGATGTCAGAGATTCCGCATCAACCTGGAGTTCGTTTAGCTCTCTTACCCGTCCAACGTCCTGGCCCGCATCTGACCGTTAACGTTAATAAACTAGCAAAGCTGGTACTCTGAATCTGGCTGATAGACCCCTTTTCAGGGATGAGGTCGGTCTCAACATCCGGGATCAAACCTGTGCAAAGTGAAATGAGGCTGGTTTTCACTACAGCAGGCAAAAGGTGTGCCTCTCCATCCACCATGCAGTTTTCTGTCAAATTAGATATCAGGCTTTGTTATTCTGATGTGCCTAAGGTTCATTTTCTGACACGACAGCCTGCATGGTTCCGATAAAGGTCAAAATCACATTTCAAGATTTTGTGAGAAGTTAGGTGGGAATTTGCATTTACTTAGTACAGGTTGCCTTGCTATGAATACAGCACACGCAATCAACATTTCTCACTGTACCACTCTGCATCGAGCAGTTGAGTTTCTGCGTGGTAATACACGTCCGAAGCCGGGAGTGTGGATTGCTGTGATCGTAGTAGTTAGTACTCTGCGTTGTGATCGCAGCAACCCGGTTCGAACCGGGTCACGGCATGGAGTTTTCTACCTCACCACTGAATCATAAGGTTGAGCATGTCTTGTGATCTTGGCCTCTTTTCACTGGAAATGCACAAAAGAGATCGGACATCAGCGTTCGGTTGCGCCGGTGGCGCGAATGGATAACGCGTCTGACTACGGATCAGAAATTCCAGGTTCAACTCCTGGTTGGCTCAGTTTCCTTTACCTCACAACCAAAGGTGTGCCGTTGCAACCCACTCTGGCAGCTGAGTTTCAGGCAGACCACTCATAATCTCTGGAATGCTGGGAGTCATGATCATACTCAGGTCAGCATGCTGTCTTACTACGGGGGGGGGGGGGGGGGGGTGAGAAGAAAAAGGGGGGGGGGGGGGGGAGGGGGGCGTGTTTCTGCCTCGGGGCGGCCGCGGTGGTTTTTGTGGGTGTCGGGGGTCGCCACGTGGTTTGTGAGAGAACGACCACCCCGGGGGTTTGGTTTTATGTGGCCCCCAGAAACCCCGGTTGAACACGAATGACAGCGCTGCATATGTACAGCTGTATTGTACAGACTGTATTTGTACAGCTGTATTGTACTACTGTATTGTGCAGACCTTTGCATGGGATAAAAGTTAGCCATAGATACTGTGTCTGATTACAGCCCGGAAGATTCTAGGTTTGGCTTGTTGCTGGCATGGCTCACTTTTATCCCATGCAATGGTCTGTATAATACAGCATATTGACTACAACAGAGCTAAAACGCAGCCAAGCCACGCAACTGAACAAATGTCTTGCCCACGACACGCACGGCAGTGCTGTGTAAGAAGATGTCCCATATGGTCTAGCGGTCAGGATTCTTGGTTTTCACCCAGGGGGCTCGGGTTTGACTCCTGGTATGGGAAGGATGATTTCTTGCATCGGCCAAGTTGAAATTAGTTTAGCTTTTCCAGCTCTATGCTCATGACTTAATTGAAATGAAAGCATAAGTAGTTAGGTTCTCATTTCCCGCAAGCTATTTGTGGGCTAGTCTTGTAATGGATGGCTCAGAAGATTCCCGCATCAACTCCTGGAGGATTCGGTTTAGCTCTCTCTTACCCGTCCAATGCCGCTGGCGCGTCTGACCGTTAACGTTAATAAACTAGCAAAGCTGGTACTCTGAATCTGGCTGTAGTAGCCCCTTTTCGAGGATGAGGTCGGTCTCAACATCCCGGATCAAACCTGTGCAAAGTGAAATGAGGCTGGTTTTCACTACAGCAGGCAAAAGGGGTGTGCCTCTCCATCCACCATGCAGTTTTCTGTCAAATTAGATATCAGGCTTTGTTATTCTGATGTGCCTAAGGTTCATTTTCTGACACGACAGCCTGCGCATGGTTCCGATAAAGGTCAAAATCACATTTCAAGATTTTGTGAGAAGTTAGGTGGGAATTTGCATTTACTTAGTACAGGTTGCCTTGCTATGAATACAGCACACGCAATCAACATTTCTCACTGTACCACTCTGCATCAAAGCAGTTGAGTTTCTACGCGGTAATACACGTCCCAGCAAGCGGGGATGTGGATTGCCCGTGATCGTATAGTGGTTAGTACTCTGCGTTGTGGTCGCAGGCACCCCCCGTTCGAATCCGGGTCACGGCATGGAGTTTTCTACCTCACCACTGAATCACAAAGGTTGAGCATGTCTTGTGATCTCTAGCCCTTTTCGCTGGAAAAGCACAAAAAAAGATCAGACATCAGCGTTCGGTGGGCCAGTGGCGCAATGGATAACGCGGCGTGACTACGGATCAGGAGATTCCAGGTTCAACTCCTGGTTGGCTCAGTTTCCTTTACCTCACACCAAAGGTGCCGTTGCAACCACTCTGGCAGCTGAGTTTCAGGCAGACCACTCATAATCTCTGGAATGCTGGGAGTCATGATCATACTCAAGTCAGCATGCTGTCTTACTACAGCGGTTTCAAGGTTGCCATGTGCAAAGCAAAAGCGCAGGCCGAAAGTGTGCCGGTGCCTCCCGCTCCTGGTCCAGCAGCTGATTTTCTGGCAGTGTAACAGGTCCGCGAATACGCAAATAGTGAAAGACCATGATCACATCGTTGTAGTTTTATGTGGCCCCAGAAACCCCGGTTGGAACGCGAATGACAGCGCTGCATATGTACAGCTGTATTGTACAGACTGTATTTGTACAGCTGTATTGTACTACTGTATTGTGCAGACCTTTGCATGGGATAAAAGTTAGCCATAGATACTGTGTCTGATTACAGCCCGGAAGATTCTAGGTTTGGCTTGTTGCTGGCATGGCTCACTTTATCCCATGCAATGGTCTGTACGCACAGATGGCATTGACCACAACAAAGCTAAAACTGCAAGCCACGCAACTGAACAAATGTCTTGCCACGACACGACACGGCAGTGCTGTGTAAGAAGATGTCCCATATGGTCTAGCGGTCAGGATTCTTGGTTTCCTCGGGGGCCGGGTTCGACTCCGGTATGGGAAGGGTGATTTCTTGCATCGGCCATGTTGAAATTAGAATTTAGCTTCTCCAGCTCTATGCATGACTTAATTGAAATGAAAGCATAAGTAGTTAGGTTCTCATTTTCCGCAGCTATTGTGGGCCAGTGGTGTAATGGATGGCTCAGAAGATTCCGCGCATCAACTCCTGGAGGATTCGTTTTAGCTCTCTCTTACCCCGTCCAACGTCCTGGCCCGCGTCTGACCGTTAACGTTAATAAACTAGCACAAGCTGGTACTCTGAATCTGGCTGTAGTAGCCCCTTTTCGAGGATGAGGTCGGGTTCTCAACATCCCGGGATCAAACCTGTGCAAAGTGAAATGAGGCTGGTTTTCACTACAGCAGGCAAAAGGTGTGCCGCTCCATCCACCATGCAGTTTTCTGTCAAATTAGATATCAGGCTTTGTTATTCTGATGTGCCTAAGGTTCATTTTCTGACACGACAGCCTGCATGGTTCCGATAAAGGTCAAAATCACATTTCAAGATTTTGTGAGAAGTTAGTTAGGTATTTGCATTTAACTTAGTACAGGTTGCCTTGCTATGAATACAGCACACGCAATCAACATTTTCACTGTACCACTCTGCATCGAAAGCAGTTGAGTTTCTGCAGCTGGTAATACCCCGTGTCCAACACGCACGAGTGTGGATTGCCGTGATCGTATAGTGGTTAGTACTCTGCGTTGTGGCGCGCAGCACCCCGGTTCGAATCCGGGTCACGGCATGGAGTTTTCTACCTCACCACTGAATCATAAGGTTGAGCATGTCTTGTGATCTCGAGCCTTTTTCGCTGGAAATGCACAAAGAGATCAGACATCAGCGTCTGTGGGCCAGTGGCGCAATGGATAACACGCCTGACTACAGATCAGGAGATTCCAGGTTCAACTCTTGGTTGGCTCAGTTCCTTTTACCTCACACCCAAAGGTGTGCCGTTGCAACCCACTCTGGCAGCTGAGTTTCAGGCAGACCACTCCATAATCTCTGGAATGCTGGGAGTCATGATCATACTCAAGTCAGCATGCTGTCTTACTACAGCAGGTTTCCAAGGTTGCCATGTGCAAAGCAAAACGAGGCAGGCCGAAAGTGTGCCGGTGCCTCCCGCCTCCTGGTCCAGCAGCTGATTTTCTGGCAGTGTAACAGGTCCGCGAATACGGAAATAGTGAAAGACCATGATCACATCGTGGTTAGTTTTATGTGGCCCCAGAAACCCCGGTTGAACGTACTGACAGCGCTGCATATGTACAGCTGTATTGTACAGACTGTATTTGTACAGCTGTATTGTACTACTGTATTGTGCAGACCTTTGAATGGGATAAAAGTTAGCCATAGATACTGTGTCTGATTACAGCCCGGAAGATTCTAGGTTTGGCTTGTTGCTGGCATGGCTCACTTTTATCCCATGCAATGGTTCGTACAATACAGCATGTTGACCACAACAGAGCGCAAAACTGCAAGCCACGCGAACTGAACAAATGTCTTGACACGCATACCCACACGGCAGTGCTGTGTAAGAAGATGTCCCATATGGTCTAGCGGTCAGGATTCTTGGTTTTCACCCAGGCGGCCCGGGTTCGACTCCGGTATGGGAAGGGTGATTTCTTGCATCGGCCATGTTGAAATTAGTTTAGCTTCTCCAGCTCTATGCGCATGACTTAATTGAAATGAAAGCATAAGTAGTTAGGTTCTCATGCCCGCAACTATTTGTGGGCCAGTGGTGTAATGGATGGCTCAGAAGATTCCCGGCATCAACTCCTGGAGGATTCTTGCTGCCTTCTAACCCCGTCCAACGTCCTGGCCCGCGTCTGACCGTTAACGCAAAAACTAGCAAAGCTGGTACTCTGAATCTGGCTGTAGTAGCCCCTTTTTTCAGGGATGAGGTCGGTCTCAACATCCCGGGATCAAACCTGTGCAAAGTGAAATGAGGCTGGTTTTCACTACAGCAGGCAAAAGGTGTGCCTCTCCATCCACCATGCAGTTTTCTGTCAAATTAGATATCAGGCTTTGTTATTCTGATGTGCCTAAGGTTCATTTTCTGACACGACAGCCTGCATGGTTCCGATAAAGGTCAAAATCACATTTCAAGATTTTGTGAGAAGTTAGGTGGGAATTTGCATTTACTTAGTACAGGTTGCCTTGCTATGAATACAGCACACGCAATCAACATTTCTCACTGTACCACTCTGCATCGAGCAGTTGAGTTTCTGCACGTGGTAATACACGTCCCAAGCACGGGAGTGTGGATTGCCGTGATCGTTATAGTGGTTAGTACTCGCTGGTGGTCGCAGCAACCCCGGTTCAACCGGTCACGGCATGGAGTTTTCTACCTCACCACTGAATCATAAGGTTGAGCATGTCTTGTGATCTCGAGCCCTTTTTTGCTGGAAAAGCACAAAGAGATCAGACATCAGCGTTCTGTGGGCCAGTGGCGCAATGGATAACGCGTCTGACTACGGATCAGGAGATTCCAGGTTCAACTCCTGGTTGGCTCAGTTTCCTTTTACCTCACACCAAAGGTGTGCCGTTGCAACCCACTCTGGCAGCTGAGTTTCAGGCAGACCACTCATAATCTCTGGAATGCTGGGAGTCATGATCATACTCAAGTCAGCATGCTGTCTTACTACAGCAGGTTTCAGGTTTCCAGGTGCTAAAGCAAAAAACGAGGCAGGCCGAAAGTGTGCCGGTGCCTCCCGCCTCCTGGTCCAGCAGCTGATTTTCTGGCAGTGTAACAGGTCCGCTGAATACGGCAATGTGAAAGACCATGATCACATCGTGGTTAGTTTTATGTGGCCCCAGAAACCCCGTGTTGAACGCGACTGACAGCGCTGCATATGTACAGCTGTATTGTACAGACTGTATTTGTACAGCTGTATTGTACTACTGTATTGTGCAGACCTTTGAATGGGATAAAAGTTAGCCATAGATACTGTGTCTGATTACAGCCCGGAAGATTCTAGGTTTGGCTTGTTGCTGGCATGGCTCACTTTTATCCCATGCAATGGTCTGTACAATACAGCATGTTGACCACAACAGAGCTAAAACTGCAAGCCACGCAACTGAACAAATGTCTTGCCACGACACGACACGGCAGTGCTGTGTAAGAAGATGTCCCATATGGTCTAGCGGTCAGGATTCTTGGTTTTCACCCAGGTGGCCCGGGTTCGACTCCCGGTATGGGAAGGGTGATTTCTTGCATTCTTCCATGTTGAAATTAGTTTAGCTTCTCCAGCTCTATGCATGACTTAATTGAAATGAAAGCATAAGTAGTTAGGTTCTCATTTCCGCAAGCTATTTGTGGACCAGTGGTGTAATGGATGGCTCAGAAGATTCCCGCATCAACTCCTGGAGGATTCCTTTTAGCTCTCTATACCCGTCCAACGTCCTGGCCCGGCCTGACCGTTAACCTAATAAACTAGCAAAGCTGGTACTCTGAATCTGGCTGTAGTATCCCCTTTTCAGGGATGAGGTCGGTCTCAACATCCCGGGATCAAACCTGTGCAAAGTGAAATGAAGCTGGGTTTCACTACAGCAGGCAAAAGGTGTGCCTCTCCATCCACCATGCAGTTTTCTGTCAAATTAGATATCAGGCTTTGTTATTCTGATGTGCCTAAGGTTCATTTTCTGACACGACAGCCTGCATGGTTCCGAAAAAGGTCAAAATCACATTTCAAGATTTTGTGAGAAGTTAGGTGGGAATTTGCATTTACTTAGTACAGGTTGCCTTGCTATGAATACAGCACACGCAATCAACATTTCTCACTGTACCACTCTGCATCGAGCAGTTGCGTTTCTGCACATTGTAATACACGTCCCAGCACGGGAGTGTGGATTGCCGTGATCGTATAGTGGTTAGTACTTTGCGTTATGGTCGCAGCAACCCCGGTTCGAACCGGTCACGGCATGGAGTTTTCTACCTCACCACTGAATCATAAGGTTGAGCATTTTGTGATCTCGAGCCCTTTTCGCTGGAAAAGCACAAAGAGATCAGACATCAGCGTTCTGTGGGCCAGTGGCGCGCAATGGATAACGCGTCTGACTACGGATCAGGAGATTCCAGGTTCAACTCCTGGTTGGCTCAGTTTCCTTTACCTCACACCAAATGTGTGCCGCTGCAACCCACTCTGGCAGCTGAGTTTCAGGCAGACCACTCATAATCTCTGGAATGCTGGGAGTCATGATCATACCAAGTCAGCATGCTGTCTTACTACAGCAGGTTTCCAAGGTTGCCATGTGCAAAGCAAAACGAGGCAGGCCGAAGGTGTGCCGGTGCCTCCCGGGTTGGTCCAGCAGCTGATTTTCTGGCAGTGTAACAGGTCCGCAACGGAAATAGTGAAAGACCATGATCACATCGTGGTTAGTTTTATGTGGCCCCAGAAACCCCGGTTGAACGCGAATGACAGCGCTGCATATGTACAGCTGTATTGTACAGACTGTATTTGTACAGCTGTATTGTACTACTGTATTGTGCAGACCTTTGCATGGGATAAAAGTTAGCCATAGATACTGTGTCTGATTACAGCCCGGAAGATTCTAGGTTTGGCTTGTTGCTGGCATGGCTCACTTTTTATCCCATGCAATGGTCTGTACAATACAGCATGTTGACCACAACAGAGCTAAAACTGCAAGCCACGCGAACTGAACAAATGTCTTGCCACGACACGACACGCGCAGTGCTGTGTAAGAAGATGTCCCATATGGTCTAGCGGTCAGGATTCTTGGTTTTCACCCAGGCGGCCGGGTTCGACTCCGGTATGGGAAGGGTGATTTCGTGCATTCGTCCATGTTGAAATTAGTTTAGCTTCCGCTCTATGCATGACTTAATTGAAATGAAAGCATAAGTAGTTAGGTTCTCATTTCCGTAGGCTATTTGTGGGCTAGTCGTGTAATGGATGGCTCAGAAGATTCCCGCATCAACTCCTGGAGAATTCGTTTTAGCTCTTCTACTACCCGTCCAACGTCCTGGCCCCGCGTCTGACCGTTAACGTTAATAAACTAGCAAAGCTGGTACTCTGAATCTGGCTGTAGTAGCCCTTTTCAGGGATGAGGTCGGTCTCAACATCCCGGGATCAAACCTGTGCAAAGTGAAATGAGGCTGGTTTTCACTACAGCAGGCAAAAGGTGTGCCTCTCCATCCACCATGCAGTTTTCTGTCAAATTAGATATCAGGCTTTGTTATTCTGATGTGCCTAAGGTTCATTTTCTGACACGACAGCCTGCATGGTTCCGATAAAGGTCAAAATCACATTTCAAGATTTTGTGAGAAGTTAGGTGGGAATTTGCATTTACTTAGTACAGGTTGCCTTGCTATGAATACAGCACACGCAATCAACATTTCTCACTGTACCACTCTGCATCGAGCAGTTGAGTTTCTGCACGTGGTAATACACGTCCCAAGCACGGGAGTGTGGATTGCCGTGATCGTATAGTGGTTAGTACTCTGCGTTGTGGTCGCAGCAACCCCGGTTCGAATCCGGGTCACGGCATGGAGTTTTCTACCTCACCACTGAATCATAAGGTTGAGCATGTCTTGTGATCTCGAGCCCTTTTTCGCTGGAAAAGCACAAATAGATCAGACATCAGCGTTCGGTGGGCCAGTGGCGCAATGGATAACGCGTCTGACTACAGATCAGGAGATTCCAGGTTCAACTCCTGGTTGGCTCAGTTTCCTTTTACCTCACACCAAAGGTGTGCCGTTGCAACCCACTCTGGCAGCTGAGTTTCAGGCAGACCACTCATAATCTCTGGAATGCTGGGAGTCATGATCATACTCAAGTCAGCATGCTGTCTTACTACAGCAGGTTTCCGGATGTTGCCATGTGCAAAGCAAAACGAGGCAGGCCGAAAGTGTGCCGGTGCCTCCCGCTCCCTGGTCCAGCAGCTGATTTTCTGGCAGTGTAACAGGTCCGCAATACGAAATAGTGAAAGACCATGATCACATCGTGGTTAGTTTTATGTGGCCCCAGAAACCCCGGGTTGAACGCGAATGACAGCGCTGCATATGTACAGCTGTATTGTACAGACTGTATTTGTACAGCTGTATTGTACTTACTGTATTGTGCAGACCTTTGCATGGGATAAAAGTTAGCCATAGATACTGTGTCTGATTACAGCCCGGAAGATTCTAGGTTTGGCTTGTTGCTGGCATGGCTCACTTTTATCCCATGCAATGGTCTGTACAATACAGCATGTTAACCACAACAGAGCTAAAACTGCAAGCCACGCCAACTGAACAAATGTCTTACCACGACCACGCACACGGCAGTGCTGTGTAAGAAGATGTCCCATATGGTCTAGCGGTCAGGATTCTTGGTTTTAGCTCTCTCTTACCCCGTCCAACGTCCTGGCCCACATCTGACCGTTAATGTTAATAAACTAGCAAAGCTGGTACTCTGAATCTGGCTGTAGTAGCCCCTTTTCAGGGATGAGGTCGGTCTCAACATCCCGGGATCAAACCTGTGCAAAGTGAAATGAGGCTGGTTTTCACTACAGCAGGCAAAAGGTGTGCCTCTCCATCCACCATGCAGTTTTCTGTCAAATTAGATATCAGGCTTTGTTATTCTGATGTGCCTAAGGTACATTATTCTGACACAACAGCCTGCATGGTTCTGATAAAGGTCAAAATCACATTGCAAGATTTTTGAGAAGTTAGGTGGGAATTTGCATTTACTTAGTACAGGTTGCCTTGCTATGAATACAGCACACGCAATCAACATTTCTCACTGTACCACTCTGCATCGAGCAGTTGAGTTTCTGACGGGTAATACACGGCCCAAGCACGGGAGTGTGGATTGCCGTGATCGTATAGTGGTTAGTACTCTGCTAGGGTCTCAGCAGCCCCGGTGTCGAATCCGTCACGGCATGGAGTTTTCTACCTCACCACTGAATCCTAAGGTTGAGCATGTCTTGTGATCTCTAGCCCTTTCCGCTGGAAAAGCACAAATAGATCGTACATCAGCGTGCGGGCCAGTGGCGCAATGGATAACGCGTCTGACTACGGATCAGGAATTCCAGGTTCAACTCCTGGTTGGCTCAGTTTCTTTACCTCACACCAAAGGTGTGCCTTTGCAACCCACTCTGGCAGCTGAGTTTCAGGCAGACCACTCATAATCTCTGGAATGCTGGGAGTCATGATCATACTCAAGTCAGCATGCTGTCTTACTACAGCAGGTTTCCAAGGTTGCCATGTGCAAAGCAAAAGGAGGCAGGCCGGGGCAGTGCCGGTGCCTCCCGCTCCTGGTCCAGCAGCTGATTTTCTGGCAGTGTAACAGGTCCGACGAAATACAGTGAAAGACCATGATCACATCGTGGTTAGTTTTATGTGGCCCCAGAAACCCCGGTTGAACGCGACTAACAGCGCTGCATATGTACAGCTGTATTGTACAGACTGTATTTGTACAGCTGTATTGTACTACTGTATTGTGCAGACCTTTGCATGGGATAAAAGTGCCCATAGATACTGTGTCTGATTACAGCCCGGAAGATTCTAGGTTTGGCTTGTTGCTGGCATGGCTCACTTTTATCCCATGCAATGGTCTGTACAATACAGCATGTTGACCACAACAGAGCTAAAACTGCAAGCCACGCAACTGAACAAATGTCTTGCCACGACACGACACGGCAGTGCTGTGTAAGAAGATGTCCCATATGGTCTAGCGGTCAGGATTCTTGGTTTTCACCCAGGTGGCCCGGGTTCGACTCCCGGTATGGGAAGGGTGAATTCTTGCATCGGCCATGTTGAAATTAGTTTTGCTTTTCCAGCTCTATGCTATGCATGACTTAATTGAAATGAAAGCATAAGTAGTTAGGTTCTCATTTCCGCAAGCTATTTGTGGGCTAGTCTTGTAATGGATGGCTCAGAAGATTCCCGCATCAACTCCTGGAGGATTCGTTTTAGCTCTCTCTTACCCCGTCCAACGTCCTGGCCCGCGTCTGACCGTTAACGTTAATAAACTAGCAAAGCTGGTACTCTGAATCTGGCTGTAGTAGCCCCTTTTCAGGGATGAGGTCGGTCTCAACATCCCGGGATCAAACCTGTGCAAAGTGAAATGAGGCTGGTTTTCACTACAGCAGGCAAAAGGTGTGCCTCTCCATCCACCATGCAGTTTTCTGTCAAATTAGATATCAGGCTTTGTTATTCTGATGTGCCTAAGGTTCATTTTCTGACACGCGCCGCAGCGTCATGGTTCCGATAAAGGTCAAAATCACATTTCAAGATTTTGTGAGAAGTTAGGTGGGAATTTGCATTTACTTAGTACAGGTTGCCTTGCTATATACAGCACACGCAATCAACATTACTGTACATCTGACGGCAGTTGAGTTTTCACGGTATACACGCCAAGCACGGATGTGGATTGCCGTATCGTATAGTGGTTAGTACTCTGCTAGGTCGCAGCAACCCCGGTCAAACCGGCACGGCATGGAGTTTTCTACCTCACCACTGAATCATAAGGTTGAGCATGTCTTGTGATCTCGCTTTTCGTGAAAAGCACAAAGAGATCAGACATCAGCGTTCTGTGGGCCAGTGGCGCAATGGATAACGCGTCTGACTACAGATCAGGAGATTCCAGGTTCAACTCCTGGTTGGCTCAGTTTCCTTTTACCTCACACCAAATGTGTGCCGCTGCAACCCACTGGCAGCTGAGTTTCAGGCAGACCACTCATAATCTCTGGAATGCTGGGAGTCATGATCATACTCAAGTCAGCATGCTGTCTTACTACAGCAGGTTTCCAAGGTTGCCATGTGCAAAGCAAAACGAGGCAGGCCGAAAGGTGCCGGGTGCCTCCCGCGTCCTGGTCCAGCAGCTGATTTTCTGGCAGTGTAACAGGTCCGCAACACGAAATAGTGAAAGACCATGATCACATCGTGGTTAGTTTTATGTGGCCCCAGAAACCCCGGTTGAACGCGACTGACAGCGCTGCATATGTACAGCTGTATTGTACAGACTGTATTTGTACAGCGTATTGTACTACTGTATTGTGCAGACCTTTGAATGGGATAAAAGTTAGCCATAGATACTGTGTCTGATTACAGCCCGGAAGATTCTAGGTTTGGCTTGTTGCTGGCATGGCTCACTTTTTATCCCATGCAATGGTCTGTACAATACAGCATGTTGACCACAACAGAGCTAAAACTGCAAGCCACGCAACTGAACAAATGTCTTGCCACCATACACGACACGGCAGTGCTGTGTAAGAAGATGTCCCATATGGTCTAGCGGTCAGGATTCTTGGTTTTCACCCAGGCGGCCCGGGTTCGACTCCGGTATGGGAAGGGTGATTTCTTGCATCGCCAAGTTGAAATTAGTTTTGCTTTTCCAGCTCTATGCTATGCATGACTTAATTGAAATGAAAGCATAAGTAGTTAGGTTCTCATTCCGCAAGCTATTTGGGGCTAGTCTTGTAATGGATGGCTCAGAAGATCCCCGGCATCAACTCCTGGAGGATCTTCTTCGCTCTCTTACCCCGGCCCAACGTCCTGGCCCGCGTCTGACCGTTAACGTTAATAAACTAGCAAAGCTGGTACTCTGAATCTGGCTGTAGTAGCCCCTTTTTTCAGGGATGAGGTCGGTCCAACAACCTCCCGGGATCAAACCTGTGCAAAGTGAAATGAGGCTGGTTTTCACTACAGCAGGCAAAAGGTGTGCCTCTCCATCCACCATGCAGTTTTCTGTCAAATTAGATATCAGGCTTTGTTATTCTGATGTGCCTAAGGTTCATTTTCTAGACGACGACAGCCTGCATGGTTCCGAAAAGGTCAAAATCACATTTCAAGATTTTGTGAGAAGTTAGGTGGGAATTTGCATTTACTTAGAAAAAAAAAAAAAAAAAACACCCCCCAAAAAAAAAAAAAAAAAAAAAAAAAAAAAAAAAACCAAAAAAAAGGGGGGATGGAGGAAAAAAAAAAAAAAGAAAAAAAAAAGGCTGAGCGAAAAAAAAACCCGGAAACGGGGGGGGGAAAGAAGTTCCCCCCAAAATAAAATTTTTTTAAACCCCCAAGCACAAAGAGATCAGACATCAGCGTTCTGTGGGCCAGTGGCGCAATGGATAACGCGTCTGACTACGGATCAGGAGATTCCAGGTTCAACTCCTGGTTGGCTCAGTTTCCTTTTACCTCACACCAAATGTGTGCCGCTGCAACCCACTCTGGCAGCTGAGTTTCAGGCAGACCACTCATAATCTCTGGAATGCTGGGAGTCATGATCATACTCAAGTCAGCATGCTGTCTTACTACAGCAGGATTCCAAGGTTGCCATGTGCAAAGCAAAACGAGGCAGGCCGAAAGTGTGCCGGTGCCTCCCGCTCCTGGTCCAGCAGCTGATTTTCTGGCAGTGTAACAGGTCCGCGAAACGAAATAGTGAAAGACCATGATCACATCGTGGTTAGTTTTATGTGGCCCCAGAAACCCCGGTTGGAACGCGACTGACAGCGCTGCATATGTACAGCTGTATTGTACAGACTGTATTTTGTACAGCGTATTGTACTACTGTATTGTGCAGACCTTTGAATGGGATAAAAGTTAGCCATAGATACTGTGTCTGATTACAGCCCGGAAGATTCTAGGTTTGGCTTGTTGCTGGCATGGCTCACTTTTATCCCATGCAATGGTCTGTACAATACAGCATGTTGACCACAACAGAGCTAAAACTGCAAGCCACGCAACTGAACAAATGTCTTGCCACGACACGACACGGCAGTGCTGTGTAAGAGGATGTCCCATATGGTCTAGCGGTCAGGATTCTTGGTTTTCACCCAGGCGCCCGGTTCGACTCCCCGGTATGGGAAGGGTGATTTCTTGCATCGTCCACATGTTGAAATTAGTTTAGCTTTTCCAGCTCTATGCTATGCATGACTTAATTGAAATGAAAGTATAAGTAGTTAGGTTCTCATTCCCGCAAGCTATTTGTGGGTGGAAGGGGAGGGGGAGGAGGTGTAGATGTTTTTCCTCTGTCTCCCCTCCTGGCTTCTTTTGATTGTTAAAAAAAAAAAAAAAAAAAAAAAAAAATGTAAAAATATGTTTAATTTAGTTTTTTAAGGAGAAGTAAGTTAAATTAAAAAAAAAAAAAAAAAAAGGGGGTTTTTTTTTATAAAAAAAAAAAAAAGGTGTTCTCCTTTCCCTTAATAAAAATTTAAAAAAAAAAAAAATAAGGTTTTTTATTTTTAATGAAAAATATATATAAAAAAAAAAAAAAAATTATGTGAAGATAAGGTAATAAAAAAAAAAAAAAAAAAAAAAAATAGCTGCCAGTGGCGCAAATGATAACGCGTCTGACTACGGATCAGGAGATTCCAGGTTCAACTCCTGGTTGGCTCAGTTTCCTTTTACCTCACACCAAATGTGTGCCGCTGCAACCCACTCTGGCAGCTGAGTTTCAGGCAGACCACTCATAATCTCTGGAATGCTGGGAGTCATGATCATACTCAAGTCAGCATGCTGTCTTACTACAGCAGGTTTCCAAGGTTGCCATGTGCAAAGCAAAACGAGGCAGGCCGAAAGTGTGCCGGTGCCTCCCGCTCCTGGTCCAGCAGCTGATTTTCTGGCAGTGTAACAGGTCCGCGAAACGAAATAGTGAAAGACCATGATCACATCGTGGTTAGTTTTATGTGGCCCCAGAAACCCCGGTTGGAACGCGACTGACAGCGCTGCATATGTACAGCTGTATTGTACAGACTGTATTTTGTACAGCGTATTGTACTACTGTATTGTGCAGACCTTTGAATGGGATAAAAGTTAGCCATAGATACTGTGTCTGATTACAGCCCGGAAGATTCTAGGTTTGGCTTGTTGCTGGCATGGCTCACTTTTATCCCATGCAATGGTCTGTACAATACAGCATGTTGACCACAACAGAGCTAAAACTGCAAGCCACGCAACTGAACAAATGTCTTGCCACGACACGACACGGCAGTGCTGTGTAAGAGGATGTCCCATATGGTCTAGCGGTCAGGATTCTTGGTTTTCACCCAGGCGGCCCGGGTTCGACTCCCGGTATGGGAAGGGTGATTTCTTGCATTCTTCCATGTTGAAATTAGTTTAGCTTTTCCAGCTCTATGCTATGCATGACTTAATTGAAATGAAAGCATAAGTAGTTAGGTTCTCATTCCCGCAAGCTATTTGTGGACCAGTGGTGTAATGGATGGCTCAGAAGATTCCGACATCAACTCCTGGAGGATTCGTTTTCGCTCTCTCTTACCCCGTCCAACGTCCTGGCCCGCGTCTGACCGTTAACGTTAATAAACTAGCAAAGCTGGTACTCTGAACCTGGCTGTAGTAGCCCCTTTTCAGGGATGAGGTCGGTCTCAACATCCCGGGATCAAACCTGTGCAAAGTGAAATGAGGCTGGTTTTCACTACAGCAGGCAAAAGGTGTGCCTCTCCATCCACCATGCAGTTTTCTGTCAAATTAGATATCAGGCTTTGTTATTCTGATGTGCCTAAGGTTCATTTTCTGACACGACAGCCTACATGGTTCCGATAAAGGTCAAAATCACATTGCAAGATTTTGTGAGAAGTTAGGTGGGAATTTGCATTTTCTTAGTACAGGTTGCCTTGCTATGAATACAGCACACGCAATCAACATTTCTCACTGTACCACTCTGCATCGAGCAGTTGAGTTTCTGACGGGTAATACACGTCCCGAGCACGGGAGTGTGGATTGCCGTGATCGTATAGTGGTTAGTACTCTGCGTTGTGGTCGCAGCAACCCCGGTTCAAATCCGGGTCACGGCATGGAGTTTTCTACCTCACCACTGAATCCTAAGGCTGAGCATGTCTTGTGATCTCTAGCCCTTTTTCGCTGGAAAAGCACAAATAGATCAGACGTCAATGTTTGGTGGGCCAGTTGCGCAATGGATAACGTGTCTGACTACGGATCAAAAGATTCCATGTTCAACTCCTGGTTGGCTCAGTTTCCTTTTACCTCACACCAAAGGTGTGCCTTTGCAACCCATTCTGGCAGCTGAGTTTCAGGCAGACCACTCATAATCTCTGGAATGCTGGGAGTCATGATCATACTCAAGTCAGCATGCTGTCTTACTACAGCAGGTTTCCAAGGTTGCCATGTGCAAAGCAAAACGAGGCAGGCCAAAAGTGTGCCGGTGCCTCCCGCTCCTGGTCCAGCAGCTGATTTTCTGGCAGTGTAACAGGTCCGCGAATACGAAATAGTGAAAGACCATGATCACATCGTGGTTAGTTTTATGTGGCCCCAGAAACCCCGGTTGGAACGCGACTGACAGCGCTGCATATGTACAGCTGTATTGTACAGACTGTATTTGTACAGCTGTATTGTACTACTGTATTGTGCAGACCTTTGAATGGGATAAAAGTTAGCCATAGATACTGTGTCTGATTACAGCCCGGAAGATTCTAGGTTTGGCTTGTTGCTGGCATGGCTCACTTTTATCCCATGCAATGGTCTGTACAATACAGCATGTTGACCACAACAGAGCTAAAACTGCAAGCCACGCAACTGAACAAATGTCTTGCCACGACACGACACGGCAGTGCTGTGTAAGAAGATGTCCCATATGGTCTAGCGGTCAGGATTCTTGGTTTTCACCCAGGCAGCCCGGGTTCGACTCCCGGTATGGGAAGGGTGATTTCTTGCATCGGCCAAGTTGAAATTAGTTTTGCTTTTCCAGCTCTATGCTATGCATGACTTAATTGAAATGAAAGCATAAGTAGTTAGGTTCTCATTTCCGCAAGCTATTTGTGGGCTAGTCTTGTAATGGATGGCTCAGAAGATTCCCGCATCAACTCCTGGAGGATTCGTTTTAGCTCTCTCTTACCCCGTCCAACGTCCTGGCCCGCGTCTGACCGTTAACGTTAATAAACTAGCAAAGCTGGTACTCTGAATCTGGCTGTAGTAGCCCCTTTTCAGGGATGAGGTCGGTCTCAACATCCCGGGATCAAACCTGTGCAAAGTGAAATGAGGCTGGTTTTCACTACAGCAGGCAAAAGGTGTGCCTCTCCATCCACCATGCAGTTTTCTGTCAAATTAGATATCAGGCTTTGTTATTCTGATGTGCCTAAGGTTCATTTTCTGACACGACAGCCTGCATGGTTCCGAAAAAGGTCAAAATCACATTTCAAGATTTTGTGAGAAGTTAGGTGGGAATTTGCATTTACTTAAAAAGCACAAAGAGATCAGACATCAGCGTTCTGTGGGCCAGTGGCGCAATGGATAACGCGTCTGACTACGGATCAGGAGATTCCAGGTTCAACTCCTGGTTGGCTCAGTTTCCTTTTACCTCACACCAAATGTGTGCCGCTGCAACCCACTCTGGCAGCTGAGTTTCAGGCAGACCACTCATAATCTCTGGAATGCTGGGAGTCATGATCATACTCAAGTCAGCATGCTGTCTTACTACAGCAGGTTTCCAAGGTTGCCATGTGCAAAGCAAAACGAGGCAGGCCGAAAGTGTGCCGGTGCCTCCCGCTCCTGGTCCAGCAGCTGATTTTCTGGCAGTGTAACAGGTCCGCGAAACGAAATAGTGAAAGACCATGATCACATCGTGGTTAGTTTTATGTGGCCCCAGAAACCCCGGTTGGAACGCGACTGACAGCGCTGCATATGTACAGCTGTATTGTACAGACTGTATTTTGTACAGCGTATTGTACTACTGTATTGTGCAGACCTTTGAATGGGATAAAAGTTAGCCATAGATACTGTGTCTGATTACAGCCCGGAAGATTCTAGGTTTGGCTTGTTGCTGGCATGGCTCACTTTTATCCCATGCAATGGTCTGTACAATACAGCATGTTGACCACAACAGAGCTAAAACTGCAAGCCACGCAACTGAACAAATGTCTTGCCACGACACGACACACGGCAGTGCTGTGTAAGAGGATGTCCCATATGGTCTAGCGGTCAGGATTCTTGGTTTTCACCCAGGCGGCCCGGGTTCGACTCCCGGTATGGGAAGGGTGATTTCTTGCATTCTTCCATGTTGAAATTAGTTTAGCTTTTCCAGCTCTATGCTATGCATGACTTAATTGAAATGAAAGCATAAGTAGTTAGGTTCTCATTCCCGCAAGCTATTTGTGGACCAGTGGTGTAATGGATGGCTCAGAAGATTCCGACATCAACTCCTGGAGGATTCGTTTTCGCTCTCTCTTACCCCGTCCAACGTCCTGGCCCGCGTCTGACCGTTAACGTTAATAAACTAGCAAAGCTGGTACTCTGAATCTGGCTGTAGTAGCCCCTTTTCAGGGATGAGGTCGGTCTCAACATCCCGGGATCAAACCTGTGCAAAGTGAAATGAGGCTGGTTTTCACTACAGCAGGCAAAAGGTGTGCCTCTCCATCCACCATGCAGTTTTCTGTCAAATTAGATATCAGGCTTTGTTATTCTGATGTGCCTAAGGTTCATTTTCTGACACGACAGCCTGCATGGTTCCGATAAAGGTCAAAATCACATTTCAAGATTTTGTGAGAAGTTAGGTGGGAATTTGCATTTACTTAGTACAGGTTGCCTTGCTATGAATACAGCACACGCAATCAACATTTCTCACTGTACCACTCTGCATCGAGCAGTTGAGTTTCTGCACGTGGTAATACACGTCCCAAGCACGGGAGTGTGGATTGCCGTGATCGTATAGTGGTTAGTACTCTGCGTTGTGGTCGCAGCAACCCCGGTTCGAATCCGGGTCACGGCATGGAGTTTTCTACCTCACCACTGAATCATAAGGTTGAGCATGTCTTGTGATCTCGAGCCCTTTTTTGCTGGAAAAGCACAAAGAGATCAGACATCAGCGTTCTGTGGGCCAGTGGCACAATGGATACACGGGGCTGTCACTACAGATCAGGAGATTCCAGGTTCAACTCCTGGTTAGCTCAGTTTCCTTTTACCTCACACCAAAGGTGTGCCGTTGCAACCCACTCTGGCAGCTGAGTTTCAGGCAGACCACTCATAATCTCTGGAATGCTGGGAGTCATGATCATACTCAAGTCAGCATGCTGTCTTACTACAGCAGGTTTCCAAGGTTGCCATGTGCAAAGCAAAACGAGGCAGGCCGAAAGTGTGCCGGTGCCTCCCGCTCCTGGTCCAGCAGCTGATTTTCTGGCAGTGTAACAGGTCCGCGAATACGAAATAGTGAAAGACCATGATCACATCGTGGTTAGTTTTATGTGGCCCCAGAAACCCCGGTTGGAACGCGACTGACAGCGCTGCATATGTACAGCTGTATTGTACAGACTGTATTTGTACAGCTGTATTGTACTACTGTATTGTGCAGACCTTTGAATGGGATAAAAGTTAGCCATAGATACTGTGTCTGATTACAGCCCGGAAGATTCTAGGTTTGGCTTGTTGCTGGCATGGCTCACTTTTATCCCATGCAATGGCCTGTACAATACAGCATATTGACCACAACAGAGCTAAAACTGCAAGCCCGCGCAACTGAACAAATGTCTTGCCACGACACGACACGGCAGTGCTGTGTAAGACGATGTCCCATATGGTCTAGCGGTCAGGATTCTTGGTTTTCACCCAGGCGGCCCGGGTTCGACTCCGGTATGGGAAGGGTGATTTCTTGCATCGGCCATGTTGAAAAAATTAGTTTAGCTTCTCCAGCTCTATGCGCATGACTTAATTGAAATGAAAGCATAAGTAGTTAGGTTCTCATTTCCGACAAGCTATTTGTGGGCCAGTGGTGTAATGGATGGCTCAGAAGATTCCCGCCATCAACTCCTGGAGGATTCGTTTAAGCTCTCTCTTACCCGTCAACGTCCTGGCCCGCGTCTGACCGTTAACGTTAATAAACTAGCAAAGCTGGTACTCTGAATCTGGCTGTAGTAGCCCCTTTTCAGGGATGAGGTCGGTCTCAACATCCCGGGATCAAACCTGTGCAAAGTGAAATGAGGCTGGTTTTCACTACAGCAGGCAAAAGGTGTGCCTCTCCATCCACCATGCAGTTTTCTGTCAAATTAGATATCAGGCTTTGTTATTCTGATGTGCCTAAGGTTCATTTTCTGACACGACAGCCTGCATGGTTCCGAAAAAGGTCAAAATCACATTTCAAGATTTTGTGAGAAGTTAGGTGGGAATTTGCATTTACTTAGTACAGGTTGCCTTGCTATGAATACAGCACACGCAATCAACATTTCTCACTGTACCACTCTGCATCGAGCAGTTGAGTTTCTGCACATGGTAATACACGTGCCAAGCACGGGAGTGTGGATTGCCGTGATCGTATAGTGGTTAGTACTCTGCGTTGTGGTCGCAGCAACCCCGGTTCGAATCCGGGTCACGGCATGGAGTTTTCTACCTCACCACTGAATCATAAGGTTGAGCATGTCTTGTGATCTCGAGCCCTTTTTCGCTGGAAAAGCACAAAGAGATCAGACATCAGCGTTCTGTGGGCCAGTGGCGCAATGGATAACGCGTCTGACTACAGATCAGGAGATTCCAGGTTCAACTCCTGGTTGGCTCAGTTTCCTTTTACCTCACACCAAATGTGTGCCGTTGCAACCCACTCTGGCAGCTGAGTTTCAGGCAGACCACTCATAATCTCTGGAATGCTGGGAGTCATGATCATACTCAAGTCAGCATGCTGTCTTACTACAGCAGGTTTCCAAGGTTGCCATGTGCAAAGCAAAACGAGGCAGGCCGAAAGTGTGCCGGTGCCTCCCGCTCCTGGTCCAGCAGCTGATTTTCTGGCAGTGTAACAGGTCCGCGAAACGAAATAGTGAAAGACCATGATCACATCGTGGTTAGTTTTATGTGGCCCCAGAAACCCCGGTTGGAATGCGAATGTCAGCGCTGCATATGTACAGCTGTATTGTACAGACTGTATTTGTACAGCTGTATTGTACTACTGTATTGTGCAGACCTTTGCATGGGATAAAAGTTAGCCATAGATACTGTGTCTGATTACAGCCCGGAAGATTCTAGGTTTGGCTTGTTGCTGGCATGGCTCACTTTTATCCCATGCAATGGTCTGTACAATACAGCACAATACAGCATGTTAACCACAACAGAGCTAAAACTGAAAGCCACGCAACTGAACAAATGTCTTGCCACGACACGACACGGCAGTGATGTGTAAGAAGATGTCCCATATGGTCTAGCGGTCAGGATTCTTGGTTTTAGCTCTCTCTTACCCCGTCCAACGTCCTGGCCCACATCTGACCGTTAATGTTAATAAACTAGCAAAGCTGGTACTCTGAATCTGGCTGTAGTAGCCCCTTTTCAGGGATGAGGGATGAGGTCGGTCTCAACATCCCGGGATCAAACCTGTGCAAAGTGAAATGAGGCTGGTTTTCACTACAGCAGGCAAAAGGTGTGCCTCTCCATCCACCATGCAGTTTTCTGTCAAATTAGATATCAGGCTTTGTTATTCTGATGTGCCTAAGGTTCATTATCTGACACAACAGCCTGCATGGTTCTGATAAAGGTCAAAATCACATTGCAAGAATTGTGAGAAGTTAGGTGGGAATTTGCATTTACTTAGTACAGGTTGCCTTGCTATGAATACAGCACACGCAATCAACATTTCTCAATGTACCACTCTGCATCGAGCAGTTGAGTTTCTGACGGGGTAATACACGTCCCAAGCACGGGAGTGTGGATTGCCGTGATCGGCAATCACCACTGAATCCTAAGGTAATACACGTCCCAAGCACGGGAGTGTGGATTGCCGTGATCGGCAATCACCACTGAATCCTAAGGTTGAGCATGTCTTGTGATCTCTAGCCCTTTTCCGCTGGAAAAGCACAAATAGATCAGACATCAGCATTTGGTGGGCCAGTGGCGCAATGGATAACGCGTCTGATTACAGATCAGGAGATTCCAGGTTCAACTCCTGGTTGGCTCAGTTTCCCTTTACCTCACACCAAAGGTGTGCCTTTGCAACCCACTCTGGCAGCTGAGTTTCAGGCAGACCACTCATAATCTCTGGAATGCTGGGAGTCATGATCATACTCAAGTCAGCATGCTGTCTTACTACAGCAGGTTTCCAAGGTTGCCATGTGCAAAGCAAAACGAGGCAGGCCAAAAGTGTGCCGGTGCCTCCCGCTCCTGGTCCAGCAGCTGATTTTCTGGCAGTGTAACAGGTCCGCGAATACGAAATAGTGAAAGACCATGATCACATCGTGGTTAGTTTTATGTGGCCCCAGAAACCCCGGTTGGAACGCGACTGACAGCGCTGCATATGTACAGCTGTATTGTACAGACTGTATTTGTACAGCTGTATTGTACTACTGTATTGTGCAGACCTTTGAATGGGATAAAAGTTAGCCATAGATACTGTGTCTGATTACAGCCCGGAAGATTCTAGGTTTGGCTTGTTGCTGGCATGGCTCACTTTTATCCCATGCAATGGTCTGTACAATACAGCATGTTGACCACAACAGAGCTAAAACTGCAAGCCACGCAACTGAACAAATGTCTTGCCACGACACGACACGGCAGTGCTGTGTAAGAAGATGTCCCATATGGTCTAGCGGTCAGGATTCTTGGTTTTCACCCAGGTGGCCGGGTTCGACCCCGGTATGGGAAGGATGATTTCTTGCATCGGCCATGTTGAAATTAGTTTAGCTTCTCCAGCTCTATGCTTATGACTAATTGAAATGAAAGCATAAGTAGTTAGGTTCTCATTTCCGCAAGCTATTTGTGGGCCAGTGGTGTAATGGATGGCTCAGAAGATTCCCGCATCAACTCCTGGAGGATTCGTTTTAGCTCTCTCTTACCCCGTCCAACGTCCTGGCCCGCGTCTGACCGTTAACGTTAATAAACTAGCAAAGCTGGTACTCTGAATCTGGCTGTAGTAGCCCCTTTTCAGGGATGAGGTCGGTCTCAACATCCCGGGATCAAACCTGTGCAAAGTGAAATGAGGCTGGTTTTCACTACAGCAGGCAAAAGGTGTGCCTCTCCATCCACCATGCAGTTTTCTGTCAAATTAGATATCAGGCTTTGTTATTCTGATGTGCCTAAGGTTCATTTTCTGACACGACAGCCTGCATGGTTCCGATAAAGGTCAAAATCACATTTCAAGATTTTGTGAGAAGTTAGGTGGGAATTTGCATTTACTTAGTACAGGTTGCCTTGCTATGAATACAGCACACGCAATCAACATTTCTCACTGTACCACTCTGCATCGAGCAGTTGAGTTTCTGCACGTGGTAATACACGTCTCAAGCACGTGAGTGTGGATTGCCGTGATCGTATAGTGGTTAGTACTCTGCGTTGTGGTTGCAGCAACCCCGGTTCGAATCCGGGTCACGGCATGGAGTTTTCTACCTCACCACTGAATCATAAGGTTGAGCATGTCTTGTGATCTCGAGCCCTTTTTTGCTGGAAAAGCACAAAGAGATCAGACATCAGCTTTCTGTGGGCCAGTGGTGCAATGGATAACGCGTCTGACTACAGATCAGGAGATTCCAGGTTCAACTCCTGGTTGGCTCAGTTTCCTTTTACCTCACACCAAAGGTGTGCCGTTGCAACCCACTCTGGCAGCTGAGTTTCAGGCAGACCACTCATAATCTCTGGAATGCTGGGAGTCATGATCATACTCAAGTCAGCATGCTGTCTTACTACAGCAGGTTTCCAAGGTTGCCATGTGCAAAGCAAAACGAGGCAGGCCGAAAGTGTGCCGGTGCCTCCCGCTCCTGGTCCAGCAGCTGATTTTCTGGCAGTGTAACAGGTCCGCGAAACGAAATAGTGAAAGACCATGATCACATCGTGGTTAGTTTTGTATCCCCCCAGAAACCCCGGTTGAACGCGACTGACAGCGCGCATATGTACAGCTGTATTGTACAGACTGTATTTGTACAGCTGTATTGTACTACTGTATTGTGCAGACCTTTGAATGGGATAAAAGTTAGCCATAGATACTGTGTCTGATTACAGCCCGGAAGATTCTAGGTTTGGCTTGTTGCTGGCATGGCTCACTTTTATCCCATGCAATGGTCTGTACAATACAGCATGTTGACCACAACAGAGCTAAAACTGCAAGCCACGCAACTGAACAAATGTCTTGCCACGACACGACACGGCAGTGCTGTGCAAGACGATGTCCCATATGGTCTAGCGGTCAGGATTCTTGGTTTTCACCCAGGCGGCCCGGGTTCGACTCCCGGTATGGGAAGGATGATTTCTTGCATCGGCCATGTTGAAATTAGTTTAGCTTCTCCAGCTCTATGCATGACTTAATTGAAATGAAAGCATAAGTAGTTAGGTTCTCATTTCCGCAAGCTATTTGTGGGCCAGTGGTGTAATGGATGGCTCAGAAGATTCCCGCATCAACTCCTGGAGGATTCATTTTAGCTCTCTCTTACCACGTCCAACGTCCTGGCCCGCGTCTGACCGTTAACGTTAATAAACTAGCAAAGCTGGTACTCTGAATCTGGCTGTAGTAGCCCCTTTTCAGGGATGAGGTCGGTCTCAACATCCCGGGATCAAACTTGTGCAAAGTGAAATGAGGCTGGTTTTCACTACAGCAGGCAAAAGGTGTGCCTCTCCATCCACCATGCAGTTTTCTGTCAAATTAGATATCAGGCTTTGTTATTCTGATGTGCCTAAGGTTCATTTTCTGACACGACAGCCTGCATGGTTCCGAAAAAGGTCAAAATCACATTTCAAGATTTTGTGAGAAGTTAGGTGGGAATTTGCATTTACTTAGTACAGGTTGCCTTGCTATGAATACAGCACACGCAATCAACATTTCTCACTGTACCACTCTGCATCGAGCAGTTGAGTTTCTGCAAGTGGTAATACACGTCTCCACCGCAGGGAGGTGTGGATTGCCGTCGTCGTATAGTGGTTAGTACTCTGCGTTGTGGTCGCAGCAACCCCGGTTCGAATCCGGGTCACGGCATGGAGTTTTCTACCTCACCACTGAATCATAAGGTTGAGCATGTCTTGTGATCTCGAGCCCTTTTTTGCTGGAAAAGCACAAAGAGATCAGATATCAGCGTTCTGTGGGCCAGTGGCGCAATGGATAACGCGTCTGACTACGGATCAGGAGATTCCAGGTTCAACTCCTGGTTGGCTCAGTTTCCTTTTACCTCACACCAAAGGTGTGCCACTCTGGCAGCTGAGTTTCAGGCAGACCACTCATAATCTCTGGAATGCTGGAAGTCATGATCATACTCAAGTCAGCATGCTGTCTTACTACAGCAGGTTTCCAAGGTTGCCATGTGCAAAGCAAAACGAGGCAGGCCGAAAGTGTGCCGGTGCCTCCCGCTCCTGGTCCAGCAACGCTGATTTTCTGGCAGTGTAACAGGTCCGCGAATACGGTAATAGTAGGAAAGACCATGATCACATCGTGGTTAGTTTTATGTGGCCCCAGAAACCCCGGTTGGACGCGAATGACAGCGCTGCATATGTACAGCTGTATTGTACAGACTGTATTTGTACAGCTGTATTGTACTACTGTATTGTGCAGACCTTTGCATGGGATAAAAGTTAGCCATAGATACTGTGTCTGATTACAGCCCGGAAGATTCTAGGTTTGGCTTGTTGCTGGCATGGCTCACTTTTATCCTATGCAATGGTCTGCACAATACCACATGTTGACCACAACAGAGCTAAAACTGCAAGCCACGCAACTGAACAAATGTCTTGCCACGACACCACGGCAGCGCTCTGTGAAGACGATGTCCCATATGGTCTAGCGGTCAGGATTCTTGGTTTTCACCCAGGCGGCCCGGGTTCGACTCCTGGTATGGGAAGGATGATTTCTTGCATCGGCCATGTTGAAATTAGTTTAGCTTCTCCAGCTCTATGCATGACTTAATTGAAATGAAAGCATAAGTAGTTAGGTTCTCATTTCCCAGCCGCTATTTGTGGGCCAGTGGTGTAATGGATGGCTCAGAAGATTCCCGCATCAACTCCTGGAGGATTCATTTTAGCTCTCTCTTACCACGTCCAACGTCCTGGCCCGCGTCTGACCGTTAACGTTAATAAACTAGCAAAGCTGGTACTCTGAATCTGGCTGTAGTAGCCCCTTTTCAGGGATGAGGTCGGTCTCAACATCCCGGGATCAAACCTGTGCAAAGTGAAATGAGGCTGGTTTTCACTACAGCAGGCAAAAGGTGTGCCTCTCCATCCACCATGCAGTTTTCTGTCAAATTAGATATCAGGCTTTGTTATTCTGATGTGCCTAAGGTTCATTTTCTGACACGACAGCCTGCATGGTTCCGAAAAAGGTCAAAATCACATTTCAAGATTTTGTGAGAAGTTAGGTGGGAATTTGCATTTACTTAGTACAGGTTGCCTTGCTATAAATACAGCACACGCAATCAACATTTCTCACTGTACCACTCTGCATCGAGCAGTTGAGTTTCTGCGGGCAATATACGCGTCTCCAAACGCGAGGTGTGGATTGCCGTGATCGTATAGTGGTTACTCTGCGTTGTGGTCGCAGCAACCCCGGTTCGAATCCGGGTCACGGCATGGAGTTTTCTACCTCACCACTGAATCATAAGGTTGAGCATGTCTTGTGATCTCGAGCCCTTTTTTGCTGGAAAAGCACAAAGAGATCAGACATCAGCGTTCTGTGGGCCAGTGGCGCAATGGATAACGCGTCTGACTACGGATCAGGAGATTCCAGGTTCAACTCCTGGTTGGCTCAGTTTCCTTTTACCTCACACCAAATGTGTGCCGCTGCAACCCACTCTGGCAGCTGAGTTTCAGGCAGACCACTCATAATCTCTGGAATGCTGGGAGTCATGATCATACTCAAGTCAGCATGCTGTCTTACTACAGCAGGTTTCCAAGGTTGCCATGTGCAAAGCAAAACGAGGCAGGCCGAAAGTGTGCCGGTGCCTCCCGCTCCTGGTCCAGCAGCTGATTTTCTGGCAGTGTAACAGGTCCGCGAAACGAAATAGTGAAAGACCATGATCACATCGTGGTTAGTTTTATGTGGCCCCAGAAACCCCGGTTGGAACGCGACTGACAGCGCTGCATATGTACAGCTGTATTGTACAGACTGTATTTGTACAGCTGTATTGTACTACTGTATTGTGCAGACCTTTGAATGGGATAAAAGTTAGCCATAGATACTGTGTCTGATTACAGCCCGGAAGATTCTAGGTTTGGCTTGTTGCTGGCATGGCTCACTTTTATCCCATGCAATGGTCTGTACAATACAGCATGTTGACCACCAACAGAGCTAAAACTGCAGCCAACCCCCCAATGGAACAAATGTCTTGCCACGACACACCACGGCAGTGCTGTGTAAAGATGTCCCATATGGTCTAGCGGTCAGGATTCTTGGTTTTGCCCCCAGCGCGCCCGGGCCGGGTTCGACTCCGGTATGGGAAGGATGATTTCTTGCATCGGCCATGTTGAAATTAGTTTAGCTTCTCCAGCTCTATGCATGACTTAGTGAAATGAAACATAATATTTAGGTTTCATTTCACTATTTGATAGCTTTAGCTTTTCCAGCTCTATTATGATCTTAATTGAAATGAAAGCATAAGTAGTTAGGTTCTCATTTCCGCAAGCTATTTGTGGGCAGTGGTGTAATGGATGGCTCAGAAGATTCCCGCATCAACTCCTGGAGGATTCGTTTTAGCTCTCTCTTACCCCGTCCAACGTCCTGGCCCGCGTCTGACCGTTAACGTTAATAAACTAGCAAAGCTGGTACTCTGAATCTGGCTGTAGTAGCCCCTTTTCAGGGATGAGGTCGGTCTCAACATCCCGGGATCAAACCTGTGCAAAGTGAAATGAGGCTGGTTTTCACTACAGCAGGCAAAAGGTGCTGCCTCTCCATCCACCATGCAGTTTTCTGTCAAATTAGATATCAGGCTTTGTTATTCTGATGTGCCTAAGGTTCATTTTCTGACACGACAGCCTGCATGGTTCCGATAAAGGTCAAAATCACATTTCAAGATTTTGTGAGAAGTTAGGTGGGATACATTTACTTAGTACAGGTTGCCTTGCTATGAATACAGCACACGCAATCAACATTTCTCACTGTACCACTCTGCATCGAGCAGTTGAGTTTCTGCACGTGGTAATACACGTCCCAAGCACGGGAGTTGTGGATTGCCGTGATCGTATAGTGGTTAGTACTCTGCGTTGTAGTCGCAGCCGGCCCGTTCGAATCCGGGTCACGGCATGGAGTTTTCTACCTCACCACTGAATCATAAGGTTGAGCATGTCTTGTGATCTCGAGCCGCTGCTGTAAAAGCAAAAAGAGATCAGACATCAGCGTTCGTGGGCCAGTGGCGCAATGGATAAAGCGGTCTGACTACGGATCAGGAGATTCCAGGTTCAACTCCTGGTTGGCTCAGTTTCCTTTTTACCTCACACCAAAGGTGTGCCGTTGCAACCCACTCTGGCAGCTGAGTTTCAGGCAGACCACTCATAATCTCTGGAATGCTGGAGAGTCATGATCATACTCAAGTCAGCATGCTGTCTTACTACAGCAGGTTTCCAAGGTTGCCATGTGCAAAGCAAAACGAGGCAGGCCGAAAGTGTGCGGTGCCTCCCGCTCCTGGTCCAGCAGCTGATTTTCTGGCAGTGTAACAGGTCCGAACGAAACGAATTAGTGAAAGACCATGATCACATCGTGGTTAGTTTTATGTGGCCCCCAGAAACCCCGGTTGAACGCGCGACTGACAGCGCTGCATATGTACAGCTGTATTGTACAGACTGTATTTGTACAGCTGTATTGTACTACTGTATTGTGCAGACCTTTGAATGGGATAAAAGTTAGCCATAGATACTGTGTCTGATTACAGCCCGGAAGATTCTAGGTTTGGCTTGTTGCTGGCATGGCTCACTTTTATCCCATGCAATGGTCTGTACAATACAGCATATTGACCACAACAGAGCTAAAACTGCAAGCCACGCAACTGAACAAATGTCTTGCCACGACCCACGCGCAGTGCTGTGTAAGAAGATGTCCCATATGGTCTAGCGGTCAGGATTCTTGGTTTTCACCCAGGCGGCCCGGGTTCGACTCCGGTATGGGAAGGGTGATTTCTTGCATTCGCCCATGTTGAAATTAGTTTAGCTTTTCCGCTCTATGCTATGCATGACTTAATTGAAATGAAAGCATAAGTAGTTAGGTTCTCATTTCCGCAAGCTATTTGTGGACCAGTGGTGTAATGGATGGCTCAGAAGATTCCGCATCAACTCCTGGAGGATTCGTTTTAGCTCTCTCTTACCCCGTCCAACGTCCTGGCCCGCGTCTGACCGTTAACGTTAATAAACTAGCAAAGCTGGTACTCTGAATCTGGCTGTAGTAGCCCCTTTTTCGGGGATGAGGTCGGTCTCATCATCCGGGATCAAACCTGTGCAAAGTGAAATGAGGCTGGTTTTCACTACAGCAGGCAAAAGGTGTGCCTCTCCATCCACCATGCAGTTTTCTGTCAAATTAGATATCAGGCTTTGTTATTCTGATGTGCCTAAGGTTCATTTTCTGACACGACAGCCTGCATGGTTCCGAAAAAGGTCAAAATCACATTTCAAGTTTTTGTGAGAAGTTAGGTGGGAATTTGCATTTACTTAGTACAGGTTGCCTTGCTATGAATACAGCACACGCAATCAACATTTCTCACTGTACCACTCTGCATCGAGCAGTTGAGTTTCTGCACGTGTATATACACGTCCCAAGCACGGGAGTGTGGATTGCCGTGATCGTATAGTGGTTAGTACTCTCGTTGTGGTCGCGGCACCCCCGTTCGATTCCGGGTCACGGCATGGAGTTTTCTACCTCACCACTGAATCCTAAGGTTGAGCATGTCTTGTGATCTCGAGCCCTTTTTCGCTGGAAAAGCACAAAGAGATCAGACATCAGCGTTCTGTGGGCCAGTGGCGCAATGGATAACGCGTCTGACTACGGATCAGGAGATTCCAGGTTCAACTCCTGGTTGGCTCAGTTTCCTTTTACCTCACACCAAAGGTGTGCCGTTGCAACCCACTCTGGCAGCTGAGTTTCAGGCAGACCACTCATAATCTCTGGAATGCTGGGAGTCATGATCATACTCAAGTCAGCATGCTGTCTTACTACAGCAGGTTTCCAAGGTTGCCATGTGCAAAGCAAAACGAGGCAGGCCGAAGTGTAGCGGTGCCTCCCGCTCCTGGTCAAGCAGCTGATTTTCTGGCAGTGTAACAGGTCCGCGAATACGAAATAGTGAAAGACCATGATCACATCGTGGTTAGTTTTATGTGGCCCCAGAAACCCCGGTTGGAACGCGAATGACAGCGCTGCATATGTACAGCTGTATTGTACAGACTGTATTTGTACAGCTGTATTGTACTACTGTATTGTGCAGACCTTTGCATGGGATAAAAGTTAGCCATAGATACTGTGTCTGATTACAGCCCGGAAGATTCTAGGTTTGGCTTGTTGCTGGCATGGCTCACTTTTATCCCATGCAATGGTCTGTACAATACAGCATGTTGACCACAACAGAGTTAAAACTGCAAGCCACGCAACTGAACAAATGTCTTGCCACGACACGACACGGCAGTGCTGTGTAAGAAGATGTCCCATATGGTCTAGTGGTCAGGGTTCTTGGTTTTCACCCAGGGGGCTCGGGTTCGACTCCTGGTATGGGAAGGATGATTCCTTGCATCGGCCAAGTTGAAGTTAGTTTAGCTTCTCCAGCTCTATGCATGACTTAATTGAAATGAAAGCATAAGTAGTTAGGTTCTCATTTCCGCAAGCTATTTGTGGGCCAGTGGTGTAATGGATGGCTCAGAAGATTCCCGCATCAACTCCTGGAGGATTCGTTTTAGCTCTCTCTTACCCCGTCCAACGTCCTGGCCCGCGTCTGACCGTTAACGTTAATAAACTAGCAAAGCTGGTACTCTGAATCAGGCTGTAGTAGCCCCTTTTCAGGGATGAGGTCGGTCTCAACATCCCGGGATCAAACCTGTGCAAAGTGAAATGAGGCTGGTTTTCACTACAGCAGGCAAAAGGTGTGCCTCTCCATCCACCATGCAGTTTTCTGTCAAATTAGATATCAGGCTTTGTTATTCTGATGTGCCTAAGGTTCATTTTCTGACACGACAGCCTGCATGGTTCCGATAAAGGTCAAAATCACATTTCAAGATTTTGTGAGAAGTTAGGTGGGAATTTGCATTTACTTAGTACAGGTTGCCTTGCTATAAATACAGCACACGCAATCAACATTTCTCACTGTACCACTCTGCATCGAGCAGTTGAGTTTCTGCCGCTGGTAACACACGTCCCAAACGAGGAGTGTGGATTGCTGTGATTGTATAGTGGTTAGTACTCTGCGTTGTGGTCGCAGCAACCCCGGTTCGAATCCGGGTCACGGCATGGAGTTTTCTACCTCACCACTGAATCATAAGGTTGAGCATGTCTTGTGATCTCGAGCCCTTTTTTGCTGGAAAAGCACAAAGAGATCAGACATCAGCGTTCGGTGGGCCAGTGGCGCAATGGATAACGCGTCTGACTACGGATCAGGAGATTCCAGGTTCAACTCCTGGTTGGCTCAGTTTCCTTTTACCTCACACCAAAGGTGTGCCGTTGCAACCCACTCTGGCAGCTGAGTTTCAGGCAGACCACTCATAATCTCTGGAATGCTGGGAGTCATGATCATACTCAAGTCAGCATGCTGTCTTACTACAGCAGGATTCCAAGGTTGCCATGTGCAAAGCAAAACAAAGGCAGGCCGAAAGTGTGCCGGTGCCTCCCGCTCCTGGTCCAGCAGCTGATTTTCTGGCAGTGTAACAGGTCCGCGAAACGAAATAGTGAAAGACCATGATCACATCGTGGTTAGTTTTATGTGGCCCCAGAAACCCCGGTTGGAACGCGACTGACAGCGCTGCATATGTACAGCTGTATTGTACAGACTGTATTTGTACAGCTGTATTGTACTACTGTATTGTGCAGACCTTTGAATGGGATAAAAGTTAGCCATAGATACTGTGTCTGATTACAGCCCGGAAGATTCTAGGTTTGGCTTGTTGCTGGCATGGCTCACTTTTATCCCATGCAATGGTCTGTACAATACAGCATGTTGACCACAACAGAGCTAAAACTGCAAGCCACGCAACTGAACAAATGTCTTGCCACGACACGACACGGCAGTGCTGTGTAAGATGATGTCCCATATGGTCTAGCGGTCAGGATTCTTGGTTTTCACCCAGGCGGCCCGGGTTCGACTCCCGGTATGGGAAGGATGATTTCTTGCATCGGCCATGTTGAAATTAGTTTAGCTTCTCCAGCTCTATGCATGACTTAATTGAAATGAAAGCATAAGTAGTTAGGTTCTCATTTCCGCAAGCTATTTGTGGACCAGTGGTGTAATGGATGGCTCAGAAGATTCCCGCATCAACTCCTGGAGGATTCGTTTTAGCTCTCTCTTACCCCGTCCAACGTCCTGGCCCGCGTCTGACCGTTAACGTTAATAAACTAGCAAAGCTGGTACTCTGAATCTGGCTGTAGTAGCCCCTTTTCAGGGATGAGGTCGGTCTCAACATCCCGGGATCAAACCTGTGCAAAGTGAAATGAGGCTGGTTTTCACTACAGCAGGCAAAAGGTGTGCCTCTCCATCCACCATGCAGTTTTCTGTCAAATTAGATATCAGGCTTTGTTATTCTGATGTGCCTAAGGTTCATTTTCTGACACGACAGCCTGCATGGTTCCGATAAAGGTCAAAATCACATTTCAAGATTTTGTGAGAAGTTAGGTGGGAATTTGCATTTACTTAGTACAGGTTGCCTTGCTATGAATACAGCACACGCAATCAACATTTCTCACTGTACCACTCTGCATCGAGCAGTTGAGTTTCTGCACGTGGTAATACACGTCTCAAGCACGGGAGTGTGGATTGCCGTGATCGTATAGTGGTTAGTACTCTGCACAAAGAGTGCAGACATCAGCGTTCGGTGGGCCAGTGGCGCAATGGATAACGCGTCTGACTACGGATCAGGAGATTCCAGGTTCAACTCCTGGTTGGCTCAGTTTCCTTTTACCTCACACCAAAGGTGTGCCACTCTGGCAGCTGAGTTTCAGGCAGACCACTCATAATCTCTGGAATGCTGGGAGTCATGATCATACTCAAGTCAGCATGCTGTCTTACTACAGCAGGATTCCAAGGTTGCCATGTGCAAAGCAAAACGAGGCAGGCCGAAAGTGTGCCGGTGCCTCCCGCTCCTGGTCCAGCAGCTGATTTTCTGGCAGTGTAACAGGTCCGCGAATACGAAATAGTGAAAGACCATGATCACATCGTGGTTAGTTTTATGTGGCCCCAGAAACCCCGGTTGGAACGCGACTGACAGCGCTGCATATGTACAGCTGTATTGTACAGACTGTATTTGTACAGCTGTATTGTACTACTGTATTGTGCAGACCTTTGCATGGGATAAAAGTTAGCCATAGATACTGTGTCTGATTACAGCCCGGAAGATTCTAGGTTTGGCTTGTTGCTGGCATGGCTCACTTTTATCCCATGCAATGGTCTGTACAATACAGCATGTTGACCACAACAGAGCTAAAACTGCAAGCCACGCAACTGAACAAATGTCTTGCCACGACACGACACGGCAGTGCTGTGTAAGAAGATGTCCCATATGGTCTAGCGGTCAGGATTCTTGGTTTTCACCCAGGCGGCCCGGGTTCGACTCCCGGTATGGGAAGGATGATTTCTTGCATCGGCCATGTTGAAATTGTATAGCTTCTCCAGCTCTATGCATGACTTAATTGAAATGAGCATAAGTAGTTAGGTTCTCATTTCCGCAAGCTATTTGTGGCCAGTGGTGTAATGGATGGCTCAGAAGATTCCGCATCAACTCTGGGCTTTTAGCTCTCTCGCCCAACGTCCTGGGCCGGTCTGACCACGCTAATACTAATAAAACTGGTACTCCTGAATCTGGCTGTAGTAGCCCCTTTTCAGGGATGAGGTCGGTCTCAACATCCCGGGGATCAAACCTGTGCAAAGTGAAATGAGGCTGGTTTTCACTACAGCAGGCAAAAGGTGTGCCTCTCCATCCACCATGCAGTTTTCTGTCAAATTAGATATCAGGCTTTGTTATTCTGATGTGCCTAAGGTTCATTTTCTGACACGACAGCCTGCATGGTTCCGATAAAGGTCAAAATTACATTTCAAGATTTTGCGAGAAGTTAGGTGGGAATTTGCATTTACTTAGTACAGGTTGCCTTGCTATGAATACAGCACACGCAATCAACATTTCTACTGTACCACTCTGCATCGAGCAGTTGAGTTTCTGCACGTGGTAATACACGTCCGTACGGGAGTGTGGATTGCCGTGATCGTATAGTGGTTAGTACTCTGCACAAAGAGTGCAGACATCAGCGTTCGGTGGGCCAGTGGCGCAATGGATAACGCGTCTGACTACGGATCAGGAGATTCCAGGTTCAACTCCTGGTTGGCTCAGTTTCCTTTTACCTCACACCAAAGGTGTGCCACTCTGGCAGCTGAGTTTCAGGCAGACCACTCATAATCTCTGGAATGCTGGAAGTCATGATCATACTCAAGTCAGCATGCTGTCTTACTACAGCAGGTTTCCAAGGTTGCCATGTGCAAAGCAAAACGAGGCAGGCCGGTAAAGTTGCCGGGTGCCTCCCGCTCCTGGTCAAGCAGCTGATTTTCTGGCAGTGTAACAGGTCCGCGGATACGGAAAAGTGAAAGACCATGATCACATCGTGGTTAGTTTTATGTGGCCCCAGAAACCCTGGTTGGAACGCGAATGACAGCGCTGCATATGTACAGCTGTATTGTACAGACTGTATTTGTACAGCTGTATTGTACTACTGTATTGTGCAGACCTTTGCATGGGATAAAAGTTAGCCATAGATACTGTGTCTGATTACAGCCCGGAAGATTCTAGGTTTGGCTTGTTGCTGGCATGGCTCACTTTTATCCCATGCAATGGTCTGTACAATACAGCATGTTGACCACAACAGAGTTAAAACTGCACGCCACGCAACTGAACAAATGTCTTGCCACGCACCCACACGGCAGTGCTGTGTAAGAAGATGTCCCATATGGTCTAGTGGTCAGGGTTCTTGGTTTTCACCCAGGGGGCTCGGGTTCGACTCCTGGTATGGGAAGGATGATTCCTTGCATCGGCCAAGTTGAAGTTAGTTTAGCTTCTCCAGCTCTATGCATGACTTAATTGAAATGAAAGCATAAGTAGTTAGGTTCTCATTTCCGCAAGCTATTTGTGGATAGCTTTAGCTTTTCCAGCTCTATGCTATGCATGACTTAATTGAAATGAAAGCATAAGTAGTTAGGTTCTCATTTCCGCAAGCTATTTGTGGGCTAGTCTTGTAATGGATGGCTCAGAAGATTCCCGCATCAACTCCTGGAGGATTCGTTTTAGCTCTCTCTTACCCCGTCCAACGTCCTGGCCCGCGTCTGACCGTTAACGTTAATAAACTAGCAAAGCTGGTACTCTGAATCTGGCTGTAGTAGCCCCTTTTCAGGGATGAGGTCGGTCTCAACATCCCGGGATCAAACCTGTGCAAAGTGAAATGAGGCTGGTTTTCACTACAGCAGGCAAAAGGTGTGCCTCTCCATCCACCATGCAGTTTTCTGTCAAATTAGATATCAGGCTTTGTTATTCTGATGTGCCTAAGGTTCATTTTCTGACACGACAGCCTGCATGGTTCCGAAAAAGGTCAAAATCACATTTCAAGATTTTGTGAGAAGTTAGGTGGGAATTTGCATTTACTTAGTACAGGTTGCCTTGCTATGAATACAGCACACGCAATCAACATTTCTCACTGTACCACTCTGCATCGAGCAGTTGAGTTTCTGCACGTGGTAATACACGTCTCAAGCACGGGAGTGTGGATTGCCGTGATCGTATAGTGGTTAGTACTCTGCGTTGTGGTCGCAGCAACCCCGGTTCGAATCCGGGTCACGGCATGGAGTTTTCTACCTCACCACTGAATCATAAGGTTGAGCATGTCTTGTGATCTCGAGCCCTTTTTTGCTGGAAAAGCACAAAGAGATCAGACATCAGCGTTCTGTGGGCCAGTGGCGCAATGGATAACGCGTCTGACTACGGATCAGGAGATTCCAGGTTCAACTCCTGGTTGGCTCAGTTTCCTTTTACCTCACACCAAAGGTGTGCCGTTGCAACCCACTCTGGCAGCTGAGTTTCAGGCAGACCTCTCATAATCTCTGGAATGCTGGGAGTCATGATCATACTCAAGTCAGCATGCTGTCTTACTACAGCAGGTTTCCAAGTTTGCCATGTGCAAAGCAAAACGAGGCAGGCCGAAAGTGTGCCGGTGCCTCCCCGCTCCTGGTCCAGCAGCTGATTTTCTGGCAGTGTAACAGGTCCGCGCGAATGCGCAATAGTGAAAGACCATGATCACATCGTGTTGTTGTTTTATGTGGCCCCAGAAACCCCGGTTGGAACGCGACTGACAGCGCTGCATATGTACAGCTGTATTGTACAGACTGTATTTGTACAGCTGTATTGTACTACTGTATTGTGCAGACCTTTGAATGGGATAAAAGTTAGCCATAGATACTGTGTCTGATTACAGCCCGGAAGATTCTAGGTTTGGCTTGTTGCTGGCATGGCTCACTTTTATCCCATGCAATGGTCTGTACAATACAGCATGTTGACCACAACAGAGCTAAAACTGCAAGCCACGCAACTGAACAAATGTCTTGCCACGACACGACACGGCAGTGCTGTGTAAGATGATGTCCCATATGGTCTAGCGGTCAGGATTCTTGGTTTTCACCCAGGCGGCCCGGGTTCGACTCCCGGTATGGGAAGGATGATTTCTTGCATCGGCCATGTTGAAATTAGTATAGCTTCTCCAGCTCTATGCATGACTTAATTGAAATGAAAGCATAAGTAGTTAGGTTCTCATTTCCGCAAGCTATTTGTGGGCCAGTGGTGTAATGGATGGCTCAGAAGATTCCCGCATCAACTCCTGGAGGATTCCTTTTAGCTCTCTCTTACCCCGTCCAACGTCCTGGCCCGCGTCTGACCGTTAACGTTAATAAACTAGCAAAGCTGGTACTCTGAATCTGGCTGTAGTAGCCCCTTTTCAGGGATGAGGTCGGTCTCAACATCCCGGGATCAAACCTGTGCAAAGTGAAATGAGGCTGGTTTTCACTACAGCAGGCAAAAGGTGTGCCTCTCCATCCACCATGCAGTTTTCTGTCAAATTAGATATCAGGCTTTGTTATTCTGATGTGCCTAAGGTTCATTTTCTGACACGACAGCCTGCATGGTTCCGATAAAGGTCAAAATCACATTTCAAGATTTTGTGAGAAGTTAGGTGGGAATTTGCATTTACTTAGTACAGGTTGCCTTGCTATGAATACAGCACACGCAATCAACATTTCTCACTGTACCACTCTGCATCGAGCAGTTGAGTTTCTGCACGTGGTAATACACGTCTCAAGCACGTGAGTGTGGATTGCCGTGATCGTATAGTGGTTAGTACTCTTTTAATTAAAAAATAAAATTTTTTTTTTTAAAAGCGGTGAGGACACCGGGGTCTTGAACGCACCGCGGGGGGAGAAAATTCAATTTTTTTCCGAAAAAACAAAGAGGCAAACAAATCAGCGTTCGGTGGGCCAGTGGCGCAATGGATAGCGCGTCCGACTACGGATCAGGAGATTCCAGGTTCAACTCCTGGTTGGCTCAGTTTCCTTTTACCTCACACCAAAGGTGTGCGGCCACTCACGCCCGCAGCTGAGTTTCAGGCAGACCACTCATAATCTCTGGAATGCTGGAAGTCATGATCATACTCAAGTCAGCATGCTGTCTTACTACAGCAGGTTTCCAAGGTTGCCATGTGCAAAGCAAAACGAGGCAGGCCGAAAGTGTGCCGGTGCCTCCCGCTCCTGGTCAAGCAGCTGATTTTCTGGCAGTGTAACAGGTCCGCGAATACGAAATAGTGAAAGACCATGATCACATCGTGGTTAGTTTTATGTGGCCCCAGAAACCCCGGTTGGAACGCGAATGACAGCGCTGCATATGTACAGCTGTATTGTACAGACTGTATTTGTACAGCTGTATTGTACTACTGTATTGTGCAGACCTTTGCATGGGATAAAAGTTAGCCATAGATACTGTGTCTGATTACAGCCCGGAAGATTCTAGGTTTGGCTTGTTGCTGGCATGGCTCACTTTTATCCCATGCAATGGTCTGTACAATACAGCATGTTGACCACAACAGAGCTAAAACTGCAAGCCACGCAACTGAACAAATGTCTTGCCACGACACGACACGGCAGTGCTGTGTAAGAAGATGTCCCATATGGTCTAGCGGTCAGGATTCTTGGTTTTCACCCAGGCGGCCCGGGTTCGACTCCCGGTATGGGAAGGATGATTTCTTGCATCGGCCATGTTGAAATTAGTTTAGCTTCTCCAGCTCTATGCATGACTTAATTGAAATGAAAGCATAAGTAGTTAGGTTCTCATTTCCGCAAGCTATTTGTGGGCCAGTGGTGTAATGGATGGCTCAGAAGATTCCGGCATCAACTCCTGGAGGATTCGTTTTAGCTCTCTCTTACCCCGTCCAACGTCCTGGCCCGCGTCTGACCGTTAACGTTAATAAACTAGCAAAGCTGGTACTCTGAATCTGGCTGTAGTAGCCCCTTTTCAGGGATGAGGTCGGTCTCAACATCCCGGGATCAAACCTGTGCAAAGTGAAATGAGGCTGGTTTTCACTACAGCAGGCAAAAGGTGTGCCTCTCCATCCACCATGCAGTTTTCTGTCAAATTAGATATCAGGCTTTGTTATTCTGATGTGCCTAAGGTTCATTTTCTGACACGACAGCCTGCATGGTTCCGATAAAGGTCAAAATCACATTTCAAGATTTTGTGAGAAGTTAGGTGGGAATTTGCATTTACTTAGTACAGGTTGCCTTGCTATGAATACAGCACCACGCAATCAACATTTCTCACTGTACCACTCTGCATCGAAAGCAGTTGAGTTTCTGCCGTGGTAACACACGTCCCAACGCGAGAGTGTGGATTGCCGTGATCGTATAGTGGTTAGTACTCTGCGTTGTGGTACGCACGGCACCCGGTTCGAACCGGTCACGGCATGGAGTTTTCTACCTCACCACTGAATCATAAGGTTGAGCATGTCTTGTGATCTCGAGCCCTTTTCGCTGGAAAAGCACAAAGAGATCAGACATCAGCGTTCGTGGGCCAGTGGCGCAATGGATAAGCGGCGTCTGACTACAGATCAGGAGATTCCAGGTTCAACTCCTGGTTGGCTCAGTTTCCTTTTACCTCACACCAAAGGTGTGCCGTTGCAACCCACTCTGGCAGCTGAGTTTCAGGCAGACCACTCATAATCTCTGGAATGCTGGGAGTCATGATCATACTCAAGTCAGCATGCTGTCTTACTACAGCAGGTTTCCAAGGTTGCCATGTGCAAAGCAAAACGAGGCAGGCCGAAAGTGTGCCGGTGCCTCCCGCTCCTGGTCCAGCAGCTGATTTTCTGGCAGTGTAACAGGTCCGTGAATACGAAATAGTGAAAGACCATGATCACATCGTGGTTAGTTTTATGTGGCCCCAGAAACCCCGGTTGGAACGCGAATGACAGCGCTGCATATGTACAGCTGTATTGTACAGACTGTATTTGTACAGCTGTATTGTACTACTGTATTGTGCAGACCTTTGCATGGGATAAAAGTTAGCCATAGATACTGTGTCTGATTACAGCCCGGAAGATTCTAGGTTTGGCTTGTTGCTGGCATGGCTCACATTTATCCCATGCAATGGTCTGTACAATACAGCATGTTGACCACAACAGAGCTAAAACTGCAAGCCACGCAACTGAACAAATGTCTTGCCACGACACGACACGGCAGTGCTGTGTAAGAAAATGTCCTATATGGTCTAGCGGTCAGGATTCTTGGTTTTCACCCAGGCGGCCCGGGTTCGACTCCCGGTGTTGGGAAGGATGATTTCTTGCATCGGCCATGTTGAAATTAGTTTAGCTTCTCCAGCTCTATGCATGACTTAATTGAAATGAAAGCATAAGTAGTTAGGTTCTCATTTCCGCAAGCTATTTGTGGATAGCTTTAGCTTTTCCAGCTCTATGCTATGCATGACTTAATTGAAATGAAAGCATAAGTAGTTAGGTTCTCATTTCCGCAAGCTATTTGTGGGCAAGTCTTGTAATGGATGGCTCAGAAGATTCCCGCATCAACTCCTGGAGGATTCGTTTTAGCTCTCTCTTACCCCGTCCAACGTCCTGGCCCGCGTCTGACCGTTAACGTTAATAAACTAGCAAAGCTGGTACTCTGAATCTGGCTGTAGTAGCCCCTTTTCAGGGATGAGGTCGGTCTCAACATCCGGGGATCAAACCTGTGCAAAGTGAAATGAGGCTGGTTTTCACTACAGCAGGCAAAAGGTGTGCCTCTCGATCCACCATGCAGTTTTCTGTCAAATTAGATATCAGGCTTTGTTATTTTGATGTGCCTAAGGTTCATTTTCTGACACAACAGCCTGCATGGTTCCAATAAAGGTCAAAATCACATTGCAAGATTCTTATGTGTTTATTCATACTTTACTAATCTCCCCAGTAGGGTCTTTAGAAAGATAGTACTTAGTCCTTAACATAGTGAACCAATATGAGGATGTATTTATTTATAGAAATTTTAAAGCACTTCTGCAAATAACTCTGGATAAAGGCATCCGTCAAGTGCCATAAATGCAAATACATTAACCACATAGGTCTGTACTAGTTCTACGGAGGTCTATATAAATTATGATCCACCTTCTATAAAATGATGAGGACACGTGGACTTTAACTGCACCTACATGACAGTCATACTGCCACCAATATCTTTATAGCTCATATACAGATATAAAGCACATAACTAGATTTCTAATTATTGACACACTATGCTTTAATGTTTTTCCCCCTCCATGCCACAAGCAACAGTCAAATTTCCCAAGAGAGAACAACATTTTATTGCGGATTAGATTAGACATGGATATATCTGTAAAAACAGTAGCTACACATGATCTTCGTATTCAGTAATATGGTCGATTTAAAGCAGCATTCTGTCTAAAATATTACTAATACATCTTTCACTTCAACCAAGACAGAGATGAATATTTGTGAACTGTAATAACCTGATTAGCTAAAATTCAGATAAAAAAATAAATATTTTATATATATATATATATATATATATATGTGTGTATATATATATATATATATATATATATATATATTTTACACATACACACATTTTACACATATTTTACACACACACATATATAATACACGTGTGTGTATATATATATATATATATATATATATATATATAAACTTCTTACCCATATAGTGTACTACATATGATGTAGAAGTCAGACAATCAGTTACCATAGAAACAATCAAAGTTTGTAAAGTCTTTGCTTTGCATGTTCTCAGGAAAGGAGCATGTACAGTAGAAAGAGCTTCCTTTAAATATGTTTTATATTCTTATTTGAGACAAGGACCCCTGTTTATTTGCATTACATTTACTGATTTCAAGAAGAGATTTCTTTCATCTAGAAGAGAGGAGCCTGATTTTCTGTGACTGAAAATATCCACACAGGAGCAAGATGGCCACCAAGTGGACAGACTTTATAAGAAAGACGATGTACATTCCTTGTTTCATCACTACCTTCTTTGAATGCACAAATACACTCATGGCTGCATACAGAAAGCCAGAGATTTGAGACACTAAGCAAAAAAAAAAAAAAAATCTAGTCTATTTACTCTTCCAGCGAAGTTTATCTGAAACTTTTATTGAATTTTGCAGTAGGACGTATGGCTGCACTTTGGATGTATAATTTTAATATGAAATGATTTGCTGTTATTATTTGAACATTTTTTTTTGATAACTGATGTTTGTAACTCACTAACATTGATGGATCTCGACAGATAACCACAGGCTTAGAGAGAGGGCAGAAAAGAAAATATAGTTCAGCCCCCACAAAGTGCACTTTATTGAGGATGCATTAAATAAGCACAAAGTCAATTTCAAATCCAACATAAAGAACATTTAATCGAGACTAAGTATAGGAATAACACATACAAAAACACAAACAAAAGCAAACATACATTAGGAAAAGGAGTATTGCATTATCATATTGTAAAGTCTGCATCAGTGCAGTAAAGAGCTTTCAGGTCAAATATCGATTTGTTGCACTGGGAACCAAGTTTGGAATTGTGAATTCCTCCAAACGAGCGAGACTGAGAATTCTAGTCATTTTAATTTAGACGCCACAGCATATAGCCCATTTGGACCTGATGTCACTTGTTTGGTTTGAGGTTTAGTCAGGTGTAACATAAGAGTTAGTTACTGTTTAGTTTTTAAGATTGCTGGCAGGTAGAGTGGTCTTATCCAAATCATCAAAATAGGGGTGAGTCATAGCCTGGCGTGCAGAAATCCTCTTCAGAGGGTCATAGGTGAGCATTTTCTAAATGACAGAAAGATAAACAAAAAAGTGTATCACTCTGTTAGTTTATTTGGCCTTAGTCATGTAAATGGGAATCTCAGCTCACCCCAAGCAGGTCGATGCCATTCTTGTCCAGATTCTTAACCATGCTTCCCAGATTTCCAGACTTCCACTTGGGGAAAGTATTCTTGTAGTCAGGTAGCGACTCTACGTCTGGCCACACCTCATTATTTGGGGTACCTAGAATTCTGAAAGCACACACACCAAACTGGCAATGTTATATAATCAACATCATTATTGGAAGGCAGAACACAGCCTGTTAAACACAAACGCAAAAATCATTACACTGCCCTACAGCTAGATTTAGGTTTGCTCTTTATTCTTCTACTTTGTCAGTGATGTGGTAAATGATTCTTGATTTACTGGACGACCATATTAATTTTAATTACCCATAGCAGCTTTTCTCTTGTGTTCCCTTCACAGAGATGATACTTTGGCATTGCACCCAGGTATCTTGAGGACATCCCATTACAAATACATTTAGTTTATTAATTCTCCTCAATGTGAGGAAGCAGAGAGAGAGGCAGCAGTGCGTAGCAGTAAAAAAGTAATGAGAGAAAAATGCCAAATGGGATAGAAAACATCCTCTTCTCCTATGAATGGAGATCGATTGCTAGTTAATAACTTCCAATTGTAAAGAAGCTTTCAAACTGCTGCATTAAATGGTCAGACCATGCTCTAAGGCTTAGTGCATTCTCATTTTCTGTGCATTATGATCCAGCCATCACCAACAATGGAGAGTCCACCATTAATTTTTTTGGAATATTTCACTTAATACAGATACTCCTCTGTGTGATACACTGGTGTGTGTACCTGAAAATGCGGAAGAGCTGGTCAATCTCTGAGTCTCCGTGGAACAGTGGCTTCTTGGTAGCGAGTTCGGCGAAGATAGTGCCAATACTCCAAACATCTACTGGAGTGGAATAACGAGAAGCTCCCAGCAACACCTCTGGGGCCCTGTACCACAGAGTCACAACCTACACACAAGAGCACATAATTACTTATGACTTAACTTTGATTTAAACAACAAGCTAACGGAGTTATACAGAGTCACTGGAGGATTTGGATGGTTGTATACCTCATGTGTGTAGACTCGGACGGGCACCCCAAAAGCACGGGCCAATCCAAAATCAGCCAGCTTTATTACCCCTTTGTTATCAATTAGCAGGTTCTGTGGCTTCAGGTCACGATGCAAAACTCGACGACAGTGACAGAACAGAATCCCCTCCAGGATCTGATACAGGTAACTCTGCAGAACAGAGAGAGCATACACGGACACTGCTGCATTACCCACATGTAACTGCAGACAAAAATTAATAAATAAAAATACAGATACTTTCCCAACAAATGTAAAACAATACACATAAGCACTATTCGGACAGGACTATTTTTCTAAACGTAGTTCAAGTTACAATTCTTATCACCCGACATCTGCGATTCCACATACTGATTTGGACCGGACTAACATCTGCATGTCTATTACAAAGGTGAGAGTGTCTGTTTTGTACATCTGGGCATTGCAGAAGATCACAAGCCCATAAGTAGTTTTAAATTAAAAAAAAGGCAAATTTCTTAATTT